GCACAAGCAACCTGTTCTTCGGCTATTTGTTTTTGAGAAACTTCCTCTTGGAACATAGCTAATGTAATACAAAACACCTAAACCCCATAGAGAAGCCACATGGTAATCCAGTTGACAGTTTTGGCTCAGCCTGACTTTTATGTCATGGCAGTACAGGCACCAGACCCAATGAGTAAAGGAGACTTTAGATGATTGTAGCCCCCAGCAGTCCATGTAATCTATTTGAGTCTTCCCAGCTGAGAACCAGATATCACCAAAGATAAGAGTTAGTTACTGACAAAGAATGTAAAAACAGACATCAAACTATTGCAATAGGGGATAGAACTCCATGTAATCTGAGCTCATTTATGATTTGTGCAGACCTCTGGACCTTTTAGATGTAGAACAAAGGAGTACAGATAAGTAATGAGTACGAACTTGAGTGTAGTTAGGAGAAGAACTACAAAATATAGGTGGAGGCTTAGTCAATGTGAATAGGTTATCTGTGTTTCCTAACTGGAATTTATAAAAATGAGGCTTCCATCCTTCCACAGAGACTGGGATACAAGGGCCTTAGGTTTCCTGATGATTACATTTCAGAGCAACAGCTTTCAGGCTCCTAAGAAAGACACTCATGGTTTGTAGGAGACTATCATCCATCTGTCTGTCTGTCTGTCTGTCTATCTGTCTGTCATCATCTACCTATTATTATCTCTGTCTTAAAGAAACAGTGGAAGGATTTCCAATTGCAAATTTTAAAAAATGCTCTAAGAAAAGGGAGATCAGAAGCCTATGTGTTTGTTAGAACAAACAGCAGATTTTATGGTAGTCTTCAGCTTTTCCATATAGGGATGACTTGATGTGAAGAAGGAGGGTTACAGTGTGCCAGGGACTCTGTATTAAAATGTTAGACAGAAGGCTGCAGCTTGGTCAAGTCTCTAGTTTGGATGAGTTTGGAAGAGCTCTTAGCATTATGAAGCAGAGACAAGCCACTCCTCTGTGCTCTGTCTCAATCTCTGCTCCACAAACTGTGCACTCATAACAAAACAGTGGCTGTTCTTACAACACTAAGTTTGGAGTGTAACATTTCTTGCTGGAACGAGGCAATTTCCTCTCTTCCTCCCCTCCTTTCTTCCTTCTTTCCTTTTAAGTTCTAGGGATTGAATGAGGGTTTTTTGATCTGAACTACATCACCAGGCCCCCTTTTTGTTTGTCTTGAGACAGTCTTGTTAAATTACCCAGGTGACAGGTGGGACTGGAACTTGTGACCCTCCTGTGTCAGCCCCTCAGATTGCTTGGATTACAGGTATATGGCTCCATGTTTCTTCTCCTTCTCCCATCTTTTCTTCTTCTCCCCTTCATATTTTCACAGTACGGGGAATTGAACCCAGGGCCTTCACATTGAGTTATATCCCCAATCCCAGGGTCTTGTTAAATTGCTAAATTGTCCAAGTTGATCTTGAATTTGCAGTCCTCCTGCCTCAACCTCCCAGAGTAGTGGGATTATAGGAGTGCACCATCATGCCCAGCAATGACAGTGTAGTTTTTATCCTCCTCTAACTGACTAGTGTAGAAAAACCAGCATGTAAATATGCCTTGGATGGACCTCCTCAGAATCAGAGGAATACACAACAACTGGCTACTATGGATTGAAACTATAGTATCCATCTTTTTAATTAGCATCTCACTCATAGATTAGCTCAAGCATGGTGTGGATTGATGAAGTAAAAGAACAAATCGCCACCCATCAAAGCTTTGTCCATTATTACAGGAAGAGTGGGATTAGCTAATATTGACTTGTAGGAGGGTTACTAGTGAGGATCTGGTAGAAGATGAGGGTCACAGGAGTGTTTTGGCAGTAGCTAGACTCTAAGAAATTATCATGTCACAAAATATCAGCAGATCAGACCTCAGAGAGCTTTTATAACCGTATTCATTCAAATCAATGAATGCCAAGGGCCGAGGAGACAAGACACCCGTGGCTTTGATCTCAGTGGTGCCCACGAATGAAGAAATGCCCTTGAAATTTTCTGCTCTATCTTGGAAACTTGCAATTTGTATTGTACTTAAATATTGCTTCTCACAACTTTGGATCAAACTGATGGCCCAGAAGCTGTATTCTGTTTTCCCTGTGGTCTTCACATCACTTGGACACTTGGATTTTATTCAGTGTCCTTGTTTCACAGGGAGAGTCATTCATGCCTCTATTTGTTCACCTTTGCTAGGCATTCACTCTGTGCCAAGCATGGCATTAAGAACTGCAGGTATAAGGATGAAAGAAAAATGGCTCTTGCCATCAGGGAGCTGGTTTTCTATCCAGAGAGACAGGAATATAAGTAAATCATCACTTAAGACTTGCTTTAAAGTCATAGTTTTTCGGTGGTAGGAAAAGCATCAGTTTTCTGGCTTCCCATTTAATCTGATTTTTTATCCACCCTACTGCCTTTACTCAAAACACTGGAACAACCCCAGAAAAAGGGTTAGTATCAGGCCTTAGTAAAATGGGCTTGTTATGTTCATCCTGGGTATCTTGCATAAGTAAGTATTTTGTAAGGCACAAGAGTACAATCTTCTCTCAAATGTTCCCATAATTGACCCCAAAGGCTTCTGTATCATTTCTGGTATATGCAATTATTTTTTCATTACAGGCTGCAATGGTTAGCTTAAGTCTGTGTGTTGGGTCTGCGTGACCTATGGAGTTCTGCTTCTAATATAATCTTCCATTTCTCAGCTGCTGAAAGATTGTTACTAGTTCCTCCAAGCATATACTATGTGCCATGCAGGAGGCTAAACTCAGAAATAGAAAGCAATGTTTTCCTTTCCTCGGAGGACTAGACCCAGAGGAGCAGCATCTAGTCAAAAATGTTTTCAATAGGGCTTTCTGGTTTTGCTTCCAAGTCTTTTTCATTAAGAATATTTTTAAAAATTCACATCATGGTTTAGTTTATGGAAAAGGAGCCATTTTTAGACAATGCTGTGTCTCCCATCCCTTTCGATTATGTTAATTTTACTTCCCTTCCATACAGGCAAAAGACTCCACTTCCTGGGTAGACAATATTGAAGTGTTAGTTAAAATTTTGGTATTTCCCTGGCTCTATTTCTGTTTTCTCTGTGTGAATTCCATTTCCTGAAAAATTCTCCTGGGTAGTTCTGGGTGCCATGAGAAAATGTAGCCTGTGGACTTGTTTTCTTCATGTCTTTTCTCATGAAGCATACAACTGAGTGTGTGAATTTTTCCTACTTGTTCCAATACCCAAAGAAAGTTGGTGCCAGAGAGACCCCTGTGATGGTTCACATTTGGGCAGGAGTGCTGCCAGGTGGCTGATGCCTGATATCCAATTTAAGCTGGACTGTTCTGCCTGTCTGGGAGTCTCTTGCTAGTACATATTATTCCATCATTCTTGCCACTTTCTTAAACAGTTCTGGAAGTCCTCTGTTGTATCTTCAGTTGTGCTCTTGTGAATGCCTCCATGTCCTGAATGGTTCCAAGATGTAAATATTTTGTGATTATTTTGCCATTGGGAAAGAGTTGAACGTTGTAGAGTGCCCAATCCAGTGACTAAAGCTGGGTGAGCACATGCCATAATGTTTTTATGAGCCTGTATTTCCATTGGAAGGAATTTGGCAGTGGCATTTACCATATTTTTGATCACACTTTTTAAAGACAATGAGAAAGGACTTCCAAAACGACTTCAGACAGTGGCAAGAGCAATAACATAAGTATGTTTGAGGTGAGAAGTATTTTGAAGGGTATTCCTGGTAATTTATTTTTTTTTATTATAGTAGTTTACAAAATTTGAATACTCACTTTGTATTTTGTATATTTGATCATACCTCATACTTCTCTCCCATAAATGCAAAAAGATTTAAGTATTTGTATATTTCTTTAGTGTTTTTATATACCTGTCATATGTTAATACTGGTGAAAATTTGACTGCCATAAGATGTAGTTGAGGTTAAAGTTTTGAGTGATCCATTTTTCTCTCTTTGTGTCTCTTTCCCTGTTCTCAGCTCAGAGAGTCTGCATCTGCAAGGAGGATAGAGATGTGAAGGAAGGAAATCCCTTTGCCACCCAAGACATGCTCTCAAGTCGCTAGTGCCACCATTAGCTGATATTCTGATGTGGCTGATTATGTGTATACTGTTTGATCGAAACTTCAACTGCAGAAGGATGACTGATCTAAACCTTTATCATCTCTTTTCAGTTTTTCTTTTTGACTTCTCATTTATTGTTGGGATATATCTTCCTGGAGATGTTTAGCAGCCAATACTTACTAAGTAGCACTCCCTTCCCTTTCCAGCTGTAAAAGCCTGAAATGTGCCAGGCATTTAAAAATATCTTTTGGAGAACAAAATTGCCCTGGACTGAGAGCAATTTCTAGTGGAAAATGGGCAGCATGTAGCAGAAGAGGAATGTCTGTCTTTCTGGCAGGACCAGGCCAGCCTTCCCAAGGAAGTAACTTTGAGCTCAATTTTGTAAGATGAGTTACCTATTGGCCATAGGATAATTCAAAGCTATATTGGGAGATATTCATGGTTCTCTCATCCAAAACAGATTTTCTATCACCTCCTATTTATATTTTCTTTCTAGGGATTACCTATATGACCCAGTTGGCTCTTCCCTACCTTAATTCTTTTACTTATTAATATGTTGAATGGACTCCATCTGTTTATGTTACAGATTCTTATTTTGCTGGTCAAACTTAACTGTGCATTCTCTTTGAAAAAGCCTTGGATTTCCAAAGCAAATTCCCGTACAAGTGAGTTATTTTCTTTGGAATTTTTTTATACTTAGAATAGGTTACGTTATGAACCACAACTCTGAATATGTAAGATTTAGTATGGGGCAATTTTAGGCATAATTTCTGATTATCATAGGGGGACTATGTCAGTTGTTGGACATTCATGAGAAGAGACTTAAATTCTGCTTCACCTTGGATATGACTCATGTGGTAACATACTCCATTGGTAGGTGGTGTAAGTTTCACAGTAGGTATAAATGAATCACAATGAAACACCAATGAGTTTGGTCATTTATTGTTGCCACAACAAGGCAGGCTACTATTACAGACTGACTTTAAGGAAACTGGGGCATTAAGGGCTAGTAAAGCAACACAGAGACATAGAGGGGCAGTAGGCTGGGTCATGTGTGTCATACAACCACTTAGGAGGACAATCATAGGTAGAAATGTGTTTTCTCTACCATGTTTTTAATGACATAACTTAAAATAATAATATTTGAAGTAGCAATATAAACAGAGTAGCATTAAGTACATTGGCTAAGATGTAGCACCGGGAAGTTCATCCCATGTGGTATCTCCCTGGAAAGTGAATCACTGTGGATTGAGCACCAGATAGGTTGTCCCAGAGCTTCCTCCAAAAGTCAGAAGGAAAAAGCTAAACCCTGAATTCTTTGGGGGTAGCAATGCATAATTCTCAGAGCCTAGAAGATTCTAGTCAGTGAAATGGGAGATTACGATCTGTAATGACATAATCTCTCTAACTGTGATTCAGGTAACTGATGAAGGTTATTTACAGAACTCACAGGATCTCTGGAAACACTGTATGGTGGGCAGTTTGGACTCTTAGGAGATTGATGGAACCATGCTCTTATTTAAGAAAATCCATCACGAAACAAAATAAAACATTCCTACACGTGGTAGCAATTCTTTGTACCAGAAAATGATTTTCTAATTTAAAAATTTTCATGATTAAGTTTCTTAGAATATTACTCTGTCATTGCTTTTTCATTATATATATATTTTTATGTTTTGATATTCAATAATTAAATTAATCCACTAATTTTTACATAAGAGCTAATTCTACCAATGGAAAAATAATGTAAACCAAATGGGGTTTTAGAGCCTTGACATATTTAAGCACCTGGCCCTCTTGTGACCCTCTCTGGTTCATGACAGATGTGTATCCAGTGTCTCCTGTTATACTTCTCACTTGTCCCTGCATGGTGGGAAGGAGGAGGAGCTGGATGAAATACTCCCAACAATTCTGGTTGACGAACATCAAAGAAATGAGGATACTACCCAGGTTCTTGCCCTCCTTTAGTACTGCAAGTGGCAGGATTTGCAGAAACTCTGATGATCCATAGCAAAGTGACTGACGGGTGATTCCTCTAGCAAGCACACTGAGGAACGGTCACACAGTGTTTCACAACACACTTCAGTACAGGAAATGAATGTCCATAATGCATGATTAGGCCCTTGAGAAACTTGAAGGAGACCTAGCGTAGAACATTTGGCCAAATTCTCCCCATGTGTTCATCATCTAGTCTACCACACTGGCCATAAATACCGTGTTCATTTTGTGTATTGGGAAATCTGGCCTAGTTTAGTTTGTTGAGATCAGTAGGAATCCAGGTTGATTCCTGAGTTTTGCAGGCCTGGTTATATGCAGGTCTCTGATCACATGTGTTTTACCCTGTTAAATCAGTCTGGCTTAGTAAATTAATCCCTCTGAAAGCCTATACCCTTCAGAAATAGCCTTTGCAGATTGCCTCATTAGAAATAATGACTCTCCTCAACTCACGCCACTAACCATTTAACTGTGCTCTCTCCAAAACTGTTATTTCACTCGAGATTGTCATCAGCCAGCAATGCTTATATGGAAAGACAAAGAATATAAGAACGTGTTATTACCTAGAAATAAAATTCTTGGCTTAGGCAAGCATTTTTACTTTCCCACTCTTTCTTGTCTATCTTGAATTTCATCTCAGGCCCAGTGTTTTTATTTTCCACAAAAATTTATCAGAGTAATATGTGGGTATGGCTTGAAAAAAATAAAAACATATAATAAAAATGTTGTCTAAGCAGTAGCATTGCCCAGCAACACCATTCCAAATTTAACAGAGGACGTCTGTGTGGAGTTTCACATACACTTACCCATTTATGCCACCGCCTAATCCTGTATGTTTATATCAATTCTGCCACCACCTGGACATTAGCACCATTTGTCAATAGCACCATTCTGCTGATTGAACAGATAACTAAAGGGAGAGATGGGGCGGACAGTGTGCTCCACACTGAAGAGTAAGTGTATCTGTGCATGAGACTGAGAATACGCTGTCCAGGACATAGAGGCCACATCCCTGCCCATCCACACCTGTCAAGAATTGGTTCTGAGATCTTCCTCTTGGAGCTCATATCCCTTCTCCCTCTACCCTGTCCTGCTGTGTGCAGTTGATATGAGGACCTCCCTTAGAAATCAGTTTAGCTGAGAATTTGTTTTGAATGTGAAACCACAGTTTACTTTTATTGCTAATGGATATATGAACATCCAAGATTAGTATTCTAACTTTCTAAGCCAACTAAATATTCCATCTTCTCCTAACTTGCCAGTTTCCCCAAGGTAAAATTCTGTGCCTGTCTGTCTCTCTTTCTGAGAATTGAACTCAGAACTTTGCACATGCCAGTCAAGCACCGTACAAACAGACATTTAAATGTAACTATGGGTACACTGAGGAGTAGATCATCTCTACATCACTGTTGTTTTTGCAGACAGAGTGTTACTTTCTAGTCCTGGCCAGCCTTGAACTTCCAATCCTTCTGTCTCAGCCTCCTGAATTATGATTACAAACATGTACCACCACAGCTGATTTTTTTCTCACTTTTTAGCTATTTTCCCCTCTCTCTTTAGGCTATACATCTTTAGGGAGTTCTAGTACTTAGTATAATTTACCTGGTTTTTAAAAGAGTTTAATCTGGAGCTCCAGTTTCCAGCTGGCAGGAGGTGAGGGCCGGCAGCAGCTGTGGCCCTGCTTGTAGCCCTCCTTGCACATAAGCTGCAGGCCCTGAGATGATGGCGGGAGCTGAGCTCACAGCCCAGGCAGGGTGTGGGAGGAGGGAGAATGTCAGGCGGGAAAACTTACTTATTTTTCTTGAAGGAGTAAGTGTGTGCCAGGAAATTGGAAGAGATAAAGGTCCACATTTCTTTTGTGATGCTGGCTAGAAATTGATTTCTATTCACTTGCTAATTAAGGTTTTGTGTAGGAATTGTCCTTTGGAGATTTTGAAAATGTTTTCTGGGTAATTAACCTAGATGTCTTAGACTATGGTCAATGTTTGCATCCTCTTCAGCTAGAATCTAGCTAGAGCAGTGGTGGTGAATCTATGGCACTCGTGTTTTTCTTTTAAGAAAAAAGATGTCTGGGTATGAGCTGTTTTGTCTAAACTAAAATTCAACACTCAGGTTTGATTGTAGTGTTGGCACTTAGGGATGAATGACTGGGTTCTGGTTGCAGTTTTGGCACTCATCTTTAAAAGGTTCACTACTACTGGTCTAGAAGTTCAGGGCTGCAAGCCGGGTCATATGTACAGAATTGCATATAAACTAAGGCCCAGTGGAATCCCACAGGCATCTGGGGATAGACTGAGGGATGTAAACAGCATTCTCTCTTCCTGCCCTCATGGAATATGGGTTAAAGAAAGAAGTCCTCTCCCTAGATGAATGAAATGAATGTTTCTCACTCTCCTATGACATTTAAAACAGCAGCTGAACCAGGTAGGTGGACAGGGTATATTATAAAGGTAAATTTAAAAAAAAATTATTTGTTCTCTGGGTAAGGTAATTAAGGCTCCATTTCCTGAAACTCTTGAGGTAGTCTGGGAGAAATCTGATCTATTTATTTTTATCTATAACGAGGAAAGAAGGTATCATTTCACAGACTTGTCTAATCTGGCACCTTTCCCAGGAGCTGATCCCTGCTGGTATGGGACTCCGGCACCTTTCACCTTCTTATCAGGGAGCAGCAGAGATGACAGTCCCAAGCCTTGTGAGGGACATTTTTTAACTAGAGGAACACAATGGAGTTGGTTTAGATCTGAAATGTACAAAGCAGAACTCAGGGAAATAGCCTGCATGGCTAAAGCATGCCACGGTCAGCAGCTGCTGCAGTGGATGGTGAGGGTGACATCCTTCCACACTTACAGTGCTTTGGGGTTTTTGAGCAAGTGTTGCCTTCTTTGCCTTTGGGTATGAGTGACATGCATCTGAGGACATGAAAAACAGCACTGTGCCTTCACAGTGGGTATGGAACATTTCTTCATGGTCTTTAGGGTCTGGCAGAAACTGGCTGACAGCCTGTCCTTGGTGCAAAGTAAATCTGTGAGAAGAGAAAACAAAATAAAACAATCTAAGGATTATTCTTTATGGATGAATGAATACATCTACTGCTGCAAGACTTCATATACTTGTCAAGAAAAGACCCATGGAAGTTCATTATTAATGGAATTTTAATGGGCATTTATTATACATCAGACACTGTGCACAGTGTTTGCATTAAACTGACTCACTGGTCACAATTCTTCACACATGCAGTAGGATTATATATACATCTGCACCCTGCCATGGCTGCCTGGTGGGTGGAGAACACTTCCCCACTCAGCTTTTGGCTCAGTTTTATGACTTACTTTGGCCAGTGTGCTATTAGCAGCCATGATTCCTGCAGGGCCTTGGAAGGTGCAGGAGGATGATCTTGCCCTGATGAGCTTTAGCATCATCATTAAAGGACCCGGTTTGTGCAGCCACAGTACTATGAAGGGAAGAGCAACACCTGCAGCAGACTTAGTCCTACCCTACAGCTTTCAGCCCAGACCAACCAGAGCCAGCCTAGATCTGCTGAGCCTGAGCCGACCAACCTACGTACCTTGAGCAAACACTACATGACCAGTTTTGAACCTGTGTGAGAATATTTTCTGTGCTGTACTTTTATTGCAATAGCTGAATGCAGCATTTTACACACATCCCTTCATTTAATCTTCATAGCACTTTGCCTGGTAAATAGTCTTAAATTTTACAGATAAGAAAAGTACAGTTTACAGCAGCTAAGAACCTGTGCAGTCTTAGGCAGCTGGTAAGTGGTGTGGCCAGACTGAGCACAGGCTGTTTTGACTCAAGCTCATGCTTTGTCAGTCACATAACTCACTGTTCCAAGTGGTAAAGCAGTTAGCCAACTGGCCCGTGCTTCCTGAGTGCTGCTTAGCAGAGTGAAAAATACAAATGAATAGATTACGGCTTTTTGCTCTCAACAATGTACTATGCAGATGAAGGCATGAAGCATGCACAAATAATTCCTGTGGTACTATTCAACTGACCACTTCAGTTCTAATCCTTGTCTTTTTTACTTACATCTGAGCAAGAATATCTTCTATTATTATTATTATTATTATTATTAATCTTGCTTTCCTCATACCTAAATCAGGGAATTAGATTGCTCTAAGTGACCACTTACATGTATGTTCTAGAAGTGAGGCTCCAAATACATTGGCCCAAGTACTACTGGTTTAGAAGAAATTAAATGAAGCTCAAATCACAGATTTTTTTTTCTTAGTGCTCTGTTTGTCTTCTTTTTTCCTTTTTGGAGAAAACATTTTAACCACCTTGAAGAAAAGCACTCCTCAAACAGGCCCCTGCCCTTTAACAAAGGAGTCAGTAAGGTAGAAATTGAAATGATATTTTCTTGACTCCATACTAGTGACTATTTTTTTTTGTTTTGTTTTGCTTTCTTCTGCTTTTTCTTTTTAAGAGGAGGATTTATTAGAGACGGATATAGGATGCACTCAAGAGCAGAGTGAGGGTGCTTAGAGAAAAGAGGCACTCTAGCTTTTATTCATCTTCAGATTATAAAGGTAAAAATGCTTTTTTCCCCCTTATGGACTTAACATTTTCTTGACCGAGTCCTGGTTACAGGAAATAAATGTCATCTGTTAACAGCCAGAATACTATTTTAGACACAAATTTCAAGTGCACTTAGGGGCTTGCAGCAGCCTAGAACTCCAAAGAAACCTGTTTTTGTTAAAAAGAATTGTTAATTCTTTTCTTCTTTAAGACTTTCTCTTTATGCCTATTATATTTAAAAAATCAGTCTCAAAAAACTCTTAGGAAAATTTCTTACATGCTTTGAATTTCAGAGATAGTACATGTTGTGACCAAACATTCTTACCATGAAAGTCCCTTCGAGGTCTTTGTCTCCCACATCCCCGCCAGAGTAGTGGGCATTTTCCTCGGGCCCAGCAAGTACATCATGTGGCTGCTGTTCCTAATACGGTAAGACTCTGGCTTTGGACCAGGAACAGCATGCAAGCTCAGGTGTAACGGGGCTGCCTTAGTTTCTTAGCCAACCTTCCTTGAAACCCCTGTTTTTGATGGATATTGAAAGTATATGTGGGGCAGCTCTTTGCTCCACATTCTCTCTGTCATGACATGAGGGCAGCTGCAAGGAAGGGGGAAGAGAGAGCAAGTGCAAAGGCACAGCTTGGTCCCAGCTCTCCCTGAATCTTCTTTTGGGCATGGTGGCTCATATGGATTCCCATTGTCTCAGTTTCCAGCTCTGTACTATTTTACTACTTGTTAAAACTTGGTATCTCCTTTGCTCCTACTCCTCTCCTCCTTCTTCACCTTTCTCTCTTTTTTCTCTTTCTTCTTCTCCTCCCCTTCCCCTTCTCTTTTTTCTTTTTGGTGAACCTAAGAATTGAGCTCAGGCCCTTTTGCATGCTAGGCAAGTATCCTGACCTTTTAAAGATTCTTATTTTATTTTGAGACAAGGTCTCATTAAGTTTCCTAGGCTGATCTCAAACTTTTGACCCTCCTTATGAGCAGCTGGGATTACTGGTCTGTGTCACTGAGTTCTGCACAACACTATTCTGACCTGTTACATAAGTGGTATGTAAGCTTTATCTTCTGCAAAGGACCAAAGTATGATCTCTCCGAAGGGGGGATCTGTTATTATAAGCAAGTCTCCAAAGTTTTTAGCCCTATTGCATTATGTTCTGTGAAGTTTAACTTTTCTCCAGTGTTGAAGTTCTTAACTCTTTGTGAAGGTGACTTGACTTGGAAATATGGTCTTAGCAGACGTAATTATGATGCAGATGAGGGTGAGTTCACTTTGCAGTAGGGTGGGTTCTTAATCCAACAGGACTGGTGCTGTCTTTGTAAGAAAAGACACACAAAGAAAAGAAAGCCACACTGAGACACAGAGAGAAGGCAGCCAAGTGATAAAGGAGGCATAGATTGGAATTAAGGGTTTGTGAACCATTAAAAAAAATTAAAAACAAACAAACAAAACTAAGGGTTGCTGGCAAATACAAAAACCCAGGAGAATGGATCATTTGGATCTAAAATTTCCCCCAAGGCCTCATACATTCTGAGGTGGGGCTCTTGGGAAGTGATTGGAGGATAAGCACTCTAACACTCAGTGGACTAACTCATTGCTAAATTTGGAACTTGGGAGATGATGGAATTGAGGCGCTGAGGCCTAGCTGAAGGGGCTCTGAGTCATGAGAGTTTGCCCTGCAGGACTATATTTTGTCTTGGGCCCCTTCATTTCTTGCTCTTGTTCTCTAGTTCTTTCTCTTTTCCTTGCTTATTAGATGCTATTGTAGCAGCTTTCCTTTGTTATGCTTTTGCACCATGATGTTCCACCTCACCACCGTCCTAACAGCAATGGAGCCAGCTGATCATGCACTGAATCCTCTGAAACAGTGAGCCAAAATAAATCTTTCCTTTCTTTAAATTTATTTTCAGGCATTTTGGGATGTCAGCAGGAAAGTGACTAGTACAGAGAGAAAGGTTGAACCTGACAACACATTCATTTTAGATTTCAAGACTTTAAAATTGTGGCAGAATAAATCTCTGTTGTTTTAGGCCAGCACCCATTTTATGGTCATTTTTTACAGTAACCCTAAGAAAATTAATTAATGTACTTTCTCATCCACAACAAACACTACACCAGCACCACTATGCCACCATCACAACATAGTCTATTAAGCATTTATCATGCACTTGATATATATGATATCATTTGGTTTTTAGAGAAATTTGCTTGAGATATATCTATCTTTTTCTTTTAATATTTAGGGGTCCCAGAAAGCCTCAGCACTTGACTCAGCATCACATAGGTGGTAAATAAATGGTGATGGTGAAATTTTATGCTCTTAGTGCCTCTAAAGCTTTCCTTCAGGAGAATGAGTCTCTTGTGTTGATGACAAGTAAGAAGATCGTATGTGCAAGTCCTTCTTGACTAGAACAGCCTCAGTGTTTCAATACATGAACCCTTTTCTTCAGACTAGGGAAGTACCTAAACGATTAAAAAGAGTCTTGGCCAAGCTTGGCATAATTGCCTGGTCTTGGGAGCCATGATGTTTCAAATGTCCTCTGAGCCCTGGGAACATGCTGGGACTTGGCATCCTACTGTTGGAGAGAGGGGAACCAGAAGTGACAGTGGAGGATAGTGGTGGTCTATATTGGTAGTTAGTATTCCAGGTCTATGTTTAACAGCTCATTTAGACAATGACCGTGAGCTCAGCATCATGGTGGAGCTTAATTATACCAGTTCTCCTTACTATTGTAGACAATGAAGGTTTGTTGTGTTCATCAGTCAATTGGATCTCAGCCCTGAACTATACACAATGCTTATAATTAGGAACAATTTGGAGAGGAAATTCTTATTTCCATGTGATTAGTCAAAGGAAACTGTACTTGGAAATTTAAAGGGACAGTTTAGCCTGTTTCCTTGCTATTAGCTGTTTCTAGGGTGAGAAAATAACATTTTGCTCTTGAATAAAAATTGAAAATACTTTCATTATTGTTTGTAAATGCAGTTTCCATAAGATTTAGAGCTCCTTAAGATCAAGAACTATATCTCACAGCATTCTCAGAGTTTCAGCATTTGCCTAAGATATATCTTATGACCAATAATGTTTGTAGATTAAAAGAATAAATACAATCCTATTACTATAGAAAAATATTCTTCAGTAGAAAATTTATAGACCAAATGTTCCTTTTTATCAGCAATGAATTTAAAGATTTAAGTGCTGTCTGTGTTCTTATTGTGTCTTTTTTGAGACAGGGTTTTGCTATATGGTCTGAGGCTGAGCCTCCCAAATGCTGGGATTTCCAGCTTGTCTCTATTCTTTTTATAATATCTCACTTCCCAAATAAGAAAATGAGAATGAAACTAACAAAAACAAAACCCAGGAATGATAAAAAAGAGACTTGCTTTGCTTTTTACCAAGATACTTGGAAAACATTTTATAAAGCTCAGTGTGGAAAAGGTGGTCCTGACTTAGATTTTAAGTTATTAAAAATTCAGATGGTATTTAAAAGAAATAAAATGGCTTTGGAAACAAGCCTTATATGAATTTATACTCAATCTTACATAGTGGATATAGGAGTATATTTATTATAATGACTGGCTGACAAGAATCTTGGCCTTACATGGTTTATTTTCAAAGCATTTTAGGGAGTTTAGGATCAAAGTGGGTAGTTGACTTCTTAAATCAAAGAATTTCTTGTAACTGCTCTTTCATGTTACTTCTATGTGAGTTAGCATGGTTCTCCCTTTAAGAGAAGCCAGGATTAAGTTTTATTGTCCTGATAATTGTTGATGAGAGGAATTCATTGCTATTTATATTAATTGTCAGCCAACTGTGGGTCACCATCTAGTCAGTACGACATTTCAAGATAAAAAATATCATCTATGCATTTAACCCAGTTTTGATTGTTGAAGATTGTGTTGCCCAGAAATGACAATTAAAAACAATCTCTATATAATTAAAAGTAACATCAATAATCCCTAACCCTAGAAATGATCAAGCAAGTCTAGGTGACTGATTTAATTATATAAAGAAACAACACAGAAGGAATTTCAAAGCCTTAATATTTAAAAAACATAGTATAATGGAAGATGAGATAAAAGTAAAGGAAGAGGGCCTCAAAATAACATGACAGTGCTTCTCTAATTTTGCTAGGCATTGGAATCACCAGGGGGTTGCATGTAAATGTAGATTCTGATTTAATAAGTCTGAGATCTGGCGTTTCTAGTAAACTCTGGGGAGATGCCAATTCATCTGGTTTTGAGTAGTAAGGGTCTGTAGAATAAATATCAGTAGCCCTTCTAAAAATGAATCTTAAGTGATTTCTTCTGGTCATGAATGCTACCCTCACCTGCAAAAGGTGATCAGAAAGAAGCTACCTATGATAGCATTTCCCTCGGTGCATTTCAGTCAGGATTTCCAACCACGATCTCTTTAAAACAGATCAACAACAGGATGCTCTCATATATGTGATTCACAGGCCCTCAGCAAACATGCCCTAGGTAGTATGTTACTTTTTCTCATCTTCAAAGCTATCCTGGGCTTTTTTCTTAATGTGTGGCAGCCCTATCTTTGCAGCAGCCCAAGTCAGAAACATAGACATTGGCTTTCTTTTCCCTTCCTTTGGCACAAAGTCTTGTCAAGGCTTGTCTCTCTGTCTCTGTCTTTTTGCATCTCTGTCTGTCTTTCTTTCTGCACTTCTACTGCCCTACTTCATGCCATGTCTCTCTTTTGCATGGCGTACAGCTGCTGTCTCCTAACTGTTCCTCCCTGTCCATTCTCAGACTCATAATCAGGATAACCTCCTTATCTTCTTTCTTGCTTGAGGTACTTTGATAGCTCCTTTTGCCCTCAGTATAATGTCAGATTCATCCACAAAGCTCTTTGCCCTCTAACTCTGGTTCATCTCTCCAATGCTTTCACTTTCTAACTCCCCTTGAGCTTTATACTTGAGTTAGATTTATATGTAATGCCACCATCTTGTCATTTTCCTGGTTACTCTGTAATCTAAGTACCCCTCCTGGAACCTCTTGCCTGATTTTTCTGCTTTTCCTTTAAGTCCCTGTTCTCCCAGTTTTGGTTTGATATCCTCCCCAAATATCCTCATACCCATTCCCTTTCTTTCCTCTCTTCTCATAAGGCCTGTCACCAATTTGTGCTTTTGTTTCTCCTTTGAATTTGTGTTTAGAAAGCAGTAAGTGCTCAACAATTATTTGTTGAATAAATGCATAATTTGGAAATAAGCAATCCCTTCTTGGAATTAACTCTGAGTAGTCTCTGTCAGATGTTTTAGAATTTGGAAGCAGGCAAGCACATATTTTATTAATTCTCATCTTTAAGACATCTGTGGTGTGTGTATGTGTGCGTGTGTGTGTGTGTGTGTGTGTGTGTGTGTGTGTGTGTGTGGCTGTACTAGGGACCCAGGTCCATCACACTGAATTATGTGCCACCCCATGTTTTCAAGACAGGCTCTTGCTAAGTTCCTAATTGGGGCTGGGCTCAAACTTGTGATTCTCCCACTTCAGCTTCCCAGAAGTGCTAAGATTACAGGTGTGCATCACTATGTCCTGCTTCCTTTAAGACATCTTTGGAAAAGAACTATCACTGTGTTCTACTAACATGTAGCTTTTACAGACTCAGCGTAAGCCTTATTTGAGGTCTCACAGTTGGTTCTTTAATTTGGGTCATGCTGATACTCTAACCCTCAGTACTGGACTACATCTATGCAAGACATTCTTTATTTTGTAAGCAATATAAATAAACTATTGAGAACAACTTCTCTTCTTGCCAGAGAACTTTCTTCCAGGCTTTAAATTTAATTCAAAATCTTACAGATTGATGAAGTCAAAGATGTCTCTAGAGCAAACTTTAGAGCTTATTGACAAACCCACTCATTTATGGATAAGGAAACTGAAGTCTATTGAGATTGAGTAACTTGCCTATGGGATGTAACTGATAAAGTATTTGTCTTTTTAAGTGCACTCATGTATATTACTTAAAATAGTCACAACTCTGTAAGGCTTATGTTATTATTTCCTTTATACCCAAAAGGAAATTGAGTGTCAGAAAGCTAAACAGCTTGACAGGGTAGACAGTGGATGCTCTGGGATACAGATCTATTGCTGTTTTCTTCAAAACTGGATTCCTACCACCTCTGAGGCAGTTATGACAATAAAGAGTGAAAAGGAGATCTGGCTTGGCACTCTGCTTTTGACATCACTCCACTTCATGTCATAAATAGCCACTTAACTGCTACAGGCTACACTTTAAAACAGTTACTAAAGTGATCACAAAATATGTCACATTTTGGAATACTTCAGTGGTTTTGGACTAGAACTCAGGACCTTGTGGATACCAGGGAAATATTCTAGCATTAAGCCACAGCTGCAGCCATACTTAGGATACTTTTAAAGTGAAAACTGAATGTAGCAGACAACACTGCCTTTTCACTGCTCAGTTCTTTGGATTTCTTTTATTTTCAAGTGCCTCTCCTTTACCCAACTAACTTTCAGCTACCATACTTAGCTTCTAATACCCAGTATCCTGGGAGGACTGCCCACAGCCTACAAAAGTTCCTTTATCTCTCCAGTGGAGTGTAAATGTCTGAAAATTCACACCCCTTGGGGTAGCCCTTGGTCAATAGCTGAAGAGTATGAATCTGCAAGTCCCACTCAATGGCTTCAAAGCTGACAAGTTTTAGGTATAACTTACACACTGGAGCTCCCTTGCAGACCAGGCTGGAGCTGGAACTTCAGATGGCTGAGGGATACCCTGCTTGTGTTTCTCCTACTCCCTTAAGGGTTTTCCCTGAGAACACTTTTTAAATAAATCTCTTGCACACATTTATCTACAGTTGAACCTGACCTGAGATGATGGGACTAAATTTACAAAGGAGACCATTCCATACTTGGCTAGGTTCCTGAGAAAGGTTTTACTAACTCTCAAAGATCTATGAAAAACAAGCAATTCTCCTCTGTGGGAGATGACATCAGTGTAAACATGCTTTGAGATAGAAAAAGAGATGAAATACTTTCTTAAGCAATTAGAGACAAACTCCATCAAATCACAAAGCTTATTCTCACAGTTGCTAGCCAGCCTCTTCGCATTAAGATTTTCTATTAATCAAAGGGGTCATAAAACTATCTACAGGATGAGTCATGAAGAATGACTCATTTGTGCAAAGCTCTGTTTCCCCCTGAGTAAACCATCCACTCACCAGCACTCTTCTTGCAGGCTTGCTGGTTGCAGTGCTGGAATTCTGGAGGTCTTGGTTCATGATCACACAGGCAGTGATCTTGGTCTTCAGCTGTATCGTTCTCTGAGGGGACACAGTGAACGGTCCTTTTCTGAAGTCCACCTCCACAGGACCTGGTGCACTGAAAAACAGAAACACTGAGAGTTGGAGTTCTTGCCCAGCTTAACCAGAGGAGTGTCAGCAGAGCACCTCTAATCCCATAGTCAATTATGGGAAAGTCTCTGTGACTGAGAACCTTTCTGAAAAATGATAGAATAGCTAAAAATAATAATTTAGAGATGTGAAGATAGGAACATACCAATATGTATTATAGATTGGTTGAGTTGAATTCAGCTTGCTTTACTACTGGGTTCTCTGAAGAATATGCTCTTCTTTCTTACATTTGAAACTGGCTAATTTCTCCCACCACATGGCTAAATCATTGTGATCTAAGAATGCACAATAATACCATGGGGCACTTCCCACTCAGACACATATGGCCATTCCAGGGCACTGCCCACTGAGACACTTATGGCCATTCCATAAAGCTAGGCTGGTGAGTCATTTTGCTGGGAATTTTGAATCAAGATGCAGCAAGAAATTCTCTGAGGGTTAAATATGTAAATTTAAGTACAGTTAGTGGCCACATTTCCTGCCAATTAGGAGAAGAAAACACAGATGGCAAAAATATGAGCAGAATGAAGCATATGCTTAGAGAGGAACAGGATGAGATGGAATTCTTGAAGGTATATAATCTAGGCTCGAGCTAACTCCCAACCCAAACATTCATATCTGCATCATAAATACACAAAGGAAAACATATGGAGAAAGGTTGAAATTCAAGCAAAAAATTTGGTGCTGTCCAATTTATCTGAATTAGTTTTGATTTGGGGATGGTGATGAGATGTGGATAAAAGAAATGGAGCTTCTAGGGAAGCTGATAGTAGGATCAACAAAAGAAAAGGAAGAGAAAAGCTATGGTGGAATGTGGAAATAATTTGGAATGGAGACAGTAACAGAACTGCATATAGAGATGAAGGAAGGAGCAGGGTAGCACAGGTCTTTGGGGTTGGGGGCTGTATGGATGGGGTTTCTGTAAGAAACTGGATTTTAATAGCAGTATCTGAGTTGATTAGTGGTATCCTAATTGATTTGTAGACATATTCTTATCCAGTGGGCTGGATTTTTAATAATATTTGAAAACATTAATGCAATCTTTGAAATTTAGTGATTTGGAATAGAGTTCTAGGTTTAAGTTTAGGAGATTTGGGATTTCTTGCTTACAACACATCATCCTGGACCATTCACTTCACCACTCTCTTCCTCCATCAAATGTAAGACCAGATGACTTTTCTTTATTTCTGTTTCTCAGGGACTAGTGAGACAAGAACAGGCTGGTTCTGCGTGCTGCAGTCCTGGGCAGGGCAAGTTAGGATAAAACAGCTAGCTTCAAATAGACACAAAAATAAACATAGGCAATCACCATCTTTGCATCTATTTGCCAATTAAAGTAGCTTATCATTAAATGAATCTGTTGTATTTAATTGGAGGATTAAGCAGGAAGCAGGGCTGCTGATTTGAGTTTGGTTGATTGTACTATGAGTTTGGGGTCTCAGAGGGAAAGTATAAGTTTCTTGGGGGTCAAATATACTCCTTTGGTGCCTATGAAACCAAGAATCCTTGTGCCAGAAATAAGTGTCCCAAATCAGGATGGGGTTAGACTTAGTGGTGTCCCAGTTTAGGCTACTGACTCAGTGAATTTCTCACATCAATTCATAACCCGAACTCTATATTAGCTTCACGCAGCCCTGTGTGCTCTGTCCAAAAGGTGAGTGAATTGGAGCTCTAATTGGTTTTTTGAAAAAGTTGATTCTCAGTGCTCAGAAATACTTGCTCTGTGGGAAGCTATAAAAGAAATATATGAAAACCAGATTCTGTTATTACTGCCACTCAATCAGGATAGATCAAATGGAGAAATATGAGGAGAAACTATTTGATGTTTTATAATGAATGCAAACATGTTCACTGAATAATTTTCCTGTACTTATTAACACATGGATGGTCATGTTTTATACATAAAGAAAATATTTTTGAGTTTAATCCTTGTAATAACCATGCAAAATAAGATGTTCTGGTTTTATCAATGTAGAAATAAAATTCTCTCTTCCACCCCAGCTTTTCTTATTTGAATTAAGGTATATGTAGCTCTTTCTATAGAAATTCATACCCCTCAGATTCGGAAATTTTTTCTTGTGTTGATTCTTTGATTCTTTTCTTCTATTTTCTTCTTTCTCTCTTTCCAAAATCTCATTCTTTTGATATTACATCTACTGGGTCTGATACTCTAATTTTTTTTATCCTTACCTTAATTTATTTTTAACTTTTTTCTTTTCTTGTGACACTTCCTCAAATTGTTTTTCAATTTTCTATTTTTGATACTTTTAAATTTTTCTAAAGACTCCTGTTCTCCAAATTTCTTCCCACAACTGCTTATTCTCACATCATGGATATATTCTCTTATTTTTCTGAAGAGATTAATTATAGTTCTTTGGGGAAGGAGTTCATCTATTTTTTACCTGGTCTCTATTTCCTTGAGGTTCCTTTTGTTTTGTTTGTTTAATCATTCTACTTTTGGTGTAAAGAGAAGGCTTCTCAACCAGAGAGAGATTTCAGAAGCTTATAGATAATTCTTCTCTACTCCTACCATTGGCTAACCTGCCATAAGATGCAGTGGTTCTTAGAGCTTTCAGAGGACTATCCTGTGAGCAGCTACAATGAGTTGTCCTAATGCCTAGTAGTGGTCAGTTACCTAAAATGATAAGTACAGTAACTTGAATCCCCTTCTCTGCCTGTTTCCTCTTTTCTGTCACTCCTGCTCCCTGTTGTTGTATTTCCTAGTAACGTGTCAGATTTTTGCCTCAAGACTACATGTCCTAGAGAACTCATGTAAGACAAATCAGACCAAAGTCTGTTTATGGGAAAGTTTTATTTTCAATATCATGGATAGCTTTATGCAGTAAATAAATTTTAGGAGAAAAATAAATCTTTCTCTTATTTTCAGTTTAATTACTTTGTTTCTCTTCATCAAACAGGCTTGCCCTCTGTCCAATTGCTTTGTAGGAAGCAAAGAGGCCTGAAACTCACTAGGTCAGACTAATTCTGAAGTTCAGAACTGGAGAACTTGTCTAGAAAAAGAACCAAAGATCTTAAGGTGCTGAGGCTCCAAATAACCTTGTCTTAGGCTTTGTACCTTTGGAATAATTTTTGTACTGCATTTGATCTTTTCTCTTCTGTTTTTATTTTATTTATTTATTTAAATTTTTAAAAAAGAAAAATAGAAAAAAAGGGTAGAGAGACAAAGTAGGTAGAAATCTTGGAGACACAAGGGTAGGCAAAGAGTTCATAAACAAAATGCAAACTGCACTGAAGTAGTTCAAAGAATCAACAACTAGGATCTCATCATTAATAAGTTTTTTCACTTCAAAAGAAATCACCCATAAAGTGAAAATAAAACCCACAGCATGGGAAAGAATTTTAGCCAGCACCTCAGACAAAGGACTTATATCCAGAACATAGAAAGAATTGAAAAACATCAAGGGCCCAAATTCCTTTTATAACCAAATGGCAACAAACACTATTTTCTTTCCTAAAGCTAGAGCAAAACAAAGTCTAAATAACCAACCCTTACCAAGTCCCAGTTTCCGGTGGCCCAGTGACAGCAAACATGCCTGTTGCAAGGCATAGTAGATGGGGGCCTTTTTGTCCAGTCACACAGGCCTCCTGGACAAGACACCCCTCTCTCTTGAACTCCACCTCCACAGGATCTGGAACACTGATACACAATAAGGCAAAATTAGGTAAAACTAACTAGGTGGTAACACATTCAATGGCAAGGGCATATTTTTTTACTATTGTTGTCGTGCATTAATAGAAACATTAATGTCTGCATTGGGACCTTGTACAAACTTGCGGATTCCTTATAATGATCACTTTAGCTTCAAAACAATAGTAGTAAGACAAAAATTAATGACACGGAAGGAAGCTGATGAAGGAAATTTTGAGGCTAAGAGGTGAAGAAAAACAAGAAGACGCCAAATAGTCCAATGTCAAATAGTATGTCAAAAGAAAAGAATTTTGGTTGAAAACTACAATCAGTGATCTTTCTAGAATGAACATTATACTAACTACATTTTGCCTTTAGGAACAAATTTCTAGAAACCAAAATGTGAAATGTAGGTGTTTTTATTATGATTACCTCTGACAGCCTCGAAGGAAAACACATTTACAAAACAATTTTGTTTGGTTCTTATTAAAATGTGATTCAATTTTCCTGCACTATTATATAAAAGTTTAAGAATTAAATATGTCTGTATAAGGGAGAGTGAAATTTATAGATTTGCTCAAGATTCTAAGGCATGTACCATAATGTTCATAAAATAGACTTGAGATGGCAAATTGTATGTCAAGGGATACTTCACTAAAGTATCCCTTTAGTATGTCAGAGATTTCTTCACTAGAGCAATTTTATAAAATATAGTTTAATTTGCTTAATTTCTAGGAGGAAATAAAGCAATTTGCTAAGACTTTGAAAATAATAATGTAGTAATTAATTATCAACTTGAACAAGAAGTGCCTCATAAATTGGATCAGCATAGTTCTGACTGTGACTCAGGGATTTTCTGAAGACAGAAGACCCACCCAGGGGGTGGGTAGCACCAAGCAAAGGCTTTGTAGCCTGACTAGAATAAAGAATGAAGCCTTGCTGTTATTTCTTTGAAGGAGCTCTATTCTTTATCTTCACCTTGGACATTGTCTCTTGGCTTCCAGTGTAGACTCTGCACACTTCAAACGCAGCCCCTTGGGCCTCCTATATGAACTCACACAGGACTCTACAGTGAGCGGGGCTTCAGGCTTGGGTTGGCTCCTTCAGATTTCCAGCATGATTTGACAACTGACTCAGTGGGCAGCCATCACAAGTTTACCTTGTAAATCCTTATATGTCTATGTATCTCACACTAAATCTATTTTTCTAGTGAGCACTGACTGATACAAATATTTTGAAGGCACTTTTAAAAACCATGTTTACACCACAGTTACAAAATAATGACAAAATATTATGCTTATCTTGCCAGCATCATACCAACATATCAGGCATTATACATATATGTTAGTAACATTAAAAAATGGGAAAATTAATACATAATTAACTTGAGGATCAACCTGGAATTCCTCCCCCACCCATTTATTCAATGACTTTTTTAGCTTCTTTAATGAGTGAAGGAGAATCCCATGATTGGGGTCCTAATGTACCAGCCTAATGTGCACACACTCAGGGACTCCTGACCAAGTAATCAAAAAGAGAGCAAAGAAAGTAAATTATAGCACAGTGGTTCTCAAACTGTAGTCCTCAGACCAACAATGTCAGCATCTTTTGGGTAATAATCTGAAAGGCAAGATTTCAAGTCCCACCCAAGATCACCAAATTGGACACTCAATAGAGGAACACATTCATTTGTACATTGACAAATCTTGTAATTGTGACTGTGAAGCACACTAACATTTGACTGCTAGTGGTAGAAATTATGAAATACGTTATTTAAAAGACACTCTCAGAGCTACAGTGTGTCTGTGTTATGGGTAGTCTGCACTGGTTGTTCAAGTGAGTTCAGATCATTTCCAGGATGGCAGTTCATTTGGTAATGTGCATAGGAGGGACTCCTCATGTTGGATCAGGGGAAATACCTTAAGATGGCAAGTCTCACAATGGCTCCAGGTACTTAATTGACTTATATTTCCTTGCTCCTTTGTTCCTTCAGACAAAAGCCTTCCAATTTTGTGATTTTTTCAGAACAGAAAAATTTAGAAAGGAGAGTGGTAGAATGCTGTCAGGGAACAGACTGAAATTGTAGAGGCCAGAACTACTGTGGAAGTATAAGCAATAGACCTTTTCCTCTGACCAGAAATATCTGATTGCCTATCTTTAATAACCTGCAAATGGTATTTTTTCTGATCAGGTATTCTAGGTTCCTCTGTAAATTCTAGACTTGAAGAGGTCCAGGCAGGGTTCAGCATATATGGAAAGCTTGGAGGTTTGAATTCAGAGAAAGGGATTAGCAGTCACTTCATGTATTTCAAAGTCTGGCAAGGGAAGGAAGAGAAACAAAATATACTGGGTTCCAGTTTTTATCACCTTTCCACCAGGTGGAAGTTACTGAGTGTATTTGCTAGCTATTGATACATCAGTCTGTGGCAAAATGAAATCCCCATACTTCATTAAAGAATACTAAACTTGTTTTCATATAGCAAAGTAAAACAAAGACCCAGCAAAACCAGGCCCCTCACCTGCTTTTACGAAGAGCAAATACATATACACACACACCCTTCTTTTTATTTGTGCAAACAGTGATCTGGACATTTAACTGAAAGACTGAACTAAAATTGTACTATGTGGAAGGGTTCTTACCTTTTCCCCAACCTGACTGCCTAAGTCTCAGATAAGTATGTGAGGCTCTGTCTTCAATGGTTCTCAGCAAAGTGACCCTTGTTTGAATCATTCCATTGTATTTATTTCCCCAACAGGAACCCCAGTTACTCAATGTATACTCTAGGAGACAATGTTGTAATAAATTATTGCATTGCCATGGTTGCAACTACACCAATAATCTTCTGGGTGAAATTTTCTCACTATCTGGAAGTATTTGATCAGCTTAGCTTCCCTCATAAAGGATCAGGCCATCAAACAGAAGCCAGTCACTGTCATGACACAGGTGAGGTCTTCATGCAGGAGACTGCGTGAAACACCACCTTGCCTTAGGCAGTTCATAGCAGAGGATGCCTTCTTATTCTAGGAAACCAAAAGAGTAGCCAATTCTCACCATATCCCCTTATCATCTTAACATGATCCTGAGAAATATGGTCCTACTTTCACCTTAGCACCCTGAAATCTTGCCATGAACTTACAAAATATGCTCTTGCCCTTATCACACTTTCTTGACCTCTGGCCTGAGGCGGAGGAGCACATGCCCAACTGAGGGTAACCCCACAATCATCATAATACCATTAGCTTTGGAGAGTTTTGACCCCATACCATCTGGGCATTGGCAGCCATGATGGTTCCCTCCATGCCCATGTAAAGTAAGAAATGATCCCTCCTGATGTGATTGTGGAGACTTTCATTTAATTGGGCAGAGTCCTCTTAGGTGGTACCCCAGATCCCACAACTCCATAAAGTTCCTAATAAATACCTCAAACCTAAAGCAGGTAGGTCACTCTGAGTGAAACTCACTCTTGAATTTTCTCATCTGCTGGCTCCTTCTCTGAGGAATGCACTTTCTTTAATAAATATTTGTCTTTCTTACTGTGTGTCTTGCTCTATTCTTTGTTTGGGATACAGAGGGCCTGGATATGGGTGACTGAGACCACCTAGGGTGCCATACCTGGCTCCAGGGCTCCACGTGCCACTCTTCACAGGGCTCTGGGTTACAGCTCATGCTCAGCGGGGGAGGAAGGCCAGCTAGGAACTGGCAGTGAAATGGCCTCAGGCTTCGGTGATGGTCCCAGCTGTCCACGCACTGAATCTCACGGACTTTATAGCCCCCACTGCAGTTTCTGGAGCACTGTATGGACAGCAAAAGCAAAGATGATACCTAGATCCTTGGCATCAGGCCTGCATTCTTCTCCACTCGGAGGTTCCAGGCTTGAAATTGTGAAGAGGGATTGTAGTTAGTTCGAGCGGGCCCTGTTTTCCTTCATACCCACAGGAGAGGGTGTTACACAGCAGCCCCTTCCGTGAGGGCTCCTGACATCAGAAAACACGTATGAGGGGGTCGATAACTGACGTACGTGGGTAGGAATTATGGTTTTATTGCTTGTGAGTCCTTGGATAAGTCAGAGAAGTACTCTTAACCTAGAAAATGTGAGCCCCCTAAGAAGCTATCTCCACCTCTTCTCCCACCCATGGAGAGCCTTTCACTCTGCTCTTCCCACACACAGCCCTTCTGCAGCACTCCCTAAAACCTGTAGTGTGTTGGAGATTACACAGCTCACTGCAGCCTGCAGGCTTCCTTTGGGCCAGGATACTGGGGGGCCTAGGCTGTCATCATCCAGAACATGGTGTCTGGTCTTTATAGACTTCTAGTGCCATCTGGATACTTTCTAGTGCCCATGTTCAGGTGGTGGCATGAGGTAGGTGTGATGGCGACAGACACTTGTTGGGCTAACAATGTGTGCTCATGGTGACAATGCCCTTAATGTTCCATCCTTCACTCTTGGCATTGCCTGTACCTGCTCCTTCTTTAGATTTCAGTTTAAGTGAGACACCTTTTAAAATGAGAATTCTTCTCACATACCTTATCTAAGTAAGCTCTTTCTTTTATTTATCTCAGCTCCTTTTCTGTTTTTGTTATAAGGACTTGAGAGGTAGAACAACTCATTTATGCTTGCTCTGATCAGCACTGTGTCACAAGCACCTACACAGGGTCAAGCATGGTATAGATATCCAAAATGGACTTAATGAATTAAAAAATGGTTATAGTGGAACAGTCACAGCTGTAGAGTTGTGAATGAAGAAAGACAATTCCTTAAGACCTTTCAGTGGAAGTAGATTCTCAAATAGTGCACCCCCTTCTACTGTCTAGGAGACTACACTAAGTCACTTGGCTTTAAATTATGCTCTTTCACAAGAGAAGACAGGGGACCCATGGGACAAATGGGTAGATGGATGCTCTAATGCCTCCATGAATCAAGTGTGGCTAACTTCTCAAGTATAATCAACACTTACCAAATACCTCCCCCAAAAGTACAAGCTAAAAACTTCATTTCCTGGCTTATGCAGTAAACACATATAAGATAAACTAGCTGTCAAGTTAAAATTAGCTGTAGACAAAAATTTAAGACATTTAAGACATATTATTATAGCCACACAGAGCATCCATTTGTTGAACAAGATAGATTTCCAGAAAAGAGCACATGGTTAAAACAAGAGGGCTCTTCATTAGGAAAAGGGGATTTTATAAGCCATAAGTGCAAAATGGGGTTTTATTTTTTGTTTGTTGCTACAATACATTATTCCTCAATTTAATTTTCTAATTAGCATTCTTTTGTCAACAGCATGTTCACATCCAATGGCAAATTAAATTTGCTAATACACTTAAGTCAGTCACAAGGGAAGACAGTTATTAAATTTATGATTTTCCATTCCATTTTCAAGATCATGTTGGATTCAGTTAGCAAAAAAGAAGAGGCAGCAGCATATTCACTCACTGCATTCTTTTTATGTGTGGCAAGATGGCATTTGAGACAGTTTTTGCTATGTAGTTCAGACTAACCTTGAACTTGCAGTGATCCTCCTGCCTCAGCTACCTGAATGCTGCGATTATAGGCATGTGCCACCATACCTAGTTTGACTCACTCTGCTTTTAAATTGTTTTCTTTTTGTGTGCTGAATTCCAACTGTTAATTCATTTCCTTACTGCCCTAAAAAGTCACTTGTATTCTTGATTGTTTTTAAAATGCAGTTCCCGTGGGCCAGACTGAGGATAGGAGCCAGGCTAATGGATCCGAAAGAATGGCTCACACCCTGTGGAAGCAAACAAGCCTGATGCTTTGTAGTTACCACATCAGTTTGTTTAATTGATGTGATCTGCAAACCACACTGAGTCAGAATTAAAAATAATCTTAGTTATGGTTTGCAAAATTTCAAAGAAATACATGAAATGTTCACTCAAGAAGTGCATGGAGCTGTGAATGATGCATAGTTTTGGTGTCAGAATTCAATTTAGGGGTTTTCAAACACATCTTTATTCACTCATGAAATAATCATTCCATGTTTATTCTCTCAGAAATCACTTTTACTCCTCCACAAATTTTGTTTTGAAAATGACGTGTCATACAATTGACGCACATATTTATTATGTACTGTCTGCTTCTTTCTGAAAAGCTTTAATTAAAGGGATGACATATGCCCTGCCGATGGTTTCTTAGGATTGAGACTGTGCAGTATGAGGTTCATAGTCCATTGTGAGTTAGTGGTGTGAACACTCCAAGCTTTGTTTCCTCATTGGTAATTCTGAAGTCCTGTTTCAGGCTATTAATGAAATTGTTTTTCTAAAGCATCAGTGCAATGCTAAGCAAATGGTGGCACTTTGTGGGTCCTGGCATTCAGGGAAAGTCCTTTAAAGTTCATGGACACTCAGCACCTGTCTGCTTAGTACAAGAAAGTAAACACCTTTTCCGCCCAGTATTCCACTGAGAGAGTTCACTGCATTATTTCCTGTCTACTAGCCTCCTTCCCCAAGTTTAGAACTCCAGAGGTCAAGAGGTTAAATGCCTAATAGCCAGATCTAACCTATATGTGTGGCTCAAAATTTGTTCAGAACAGTCTTCTACCACTTATAAAGTTATTTTGCACACTGCTCTAGTTAGGATCTGGGAAGGCCCATATGTTGCAGGTTTGTTTATCATCTTGGTGCTTTGGGAGTTGATGAAATGGTCTAGGGGAGGGTCTTTGAGTTATGGGCATATGCTTTTGAAAAGAACGGTAAGACTGATCTCTTCCTCTTTTTGCCAGTCATGAGGTCAGGAGCTTTCTGTCTACCACGTGCTCCCTGCTACATGATGCTGCCATAGGCCCCAAAGCAATGCAAAGAAAGAATTTGCCATGAACTGAATCCTCTAAAACTATGAGCCATAACGAACATTTCCTCTGCAAATTGATCATCTTCAGTATTTATTACAGGGATAAGATAACTAACACACTTTTGATCCTTACAACAACTCTACAAGGTAAGTAGAGGCAGTATTATCAACTTCCTTTCAGAAGTGAGTAAACAAAAATCTCCTAAGAAGTTAGATGAATAGGCCAGTTGTAAATGATAATTAGTAAAAGTAAGAATCTGCTTTACTACTCTATGTTTTGGAAGTTTCTCTCCAAGTGAACTTGAAAAAGGTTAACAGAATTGGTGAAGCTGCTGGCTGCAGTGACTCACGCTCCTAATTCCAGCTATTGGGAAGCTGAGGCAAGAGGATCACACATTCATGTTCAGCCTGGACAAATTAGTGAAACTCTGCCTCAAAAAAGAGAAAGGCTGGCGATGTACCTCAGTAGTAGAGCACTTGTCTGACATGTACAGGCCCTGAGTTCAATCCCAGGAACATTAAAAAAAAGAAGTTTTACTTGATCATCAAGATTAACATTAACTAGGATTGAAACTAAAGTTATAGTAGTATGAAACAGTAAAAAACAGAGCAACTGACTATCAATAGTTAAATAATTTCTTTGACATAAGGTTTATCTGCCTAATACACTGATAGAAGAACTATTTTCTTTGATAGGAATGAAATGACTTTAAGGATTAGATTTTAGATGTGGTGGGAAGTAGTTACAATTTTGCAGAGTTTAATGATGTGTTGTCTACAAAACACTTGGGAGTGCTATAATGTGTTTTTGCAACCTTCCTAGGAGGGTGGGAGGGAAGCAGTGTAGGCAAGATGCAGAGAAGAGGAGGAGAAGGAAAAGGAGGAAGAGAGGGTAGAGGAGCAGGCGAAAGGTGGGGAGGGGAGGGAAAGAGAAGGGAGGAGAAAAGAAGGGAAGAAGAAGAAAGGCAAGGGGAGGGGAAGGGAAAGGGAGGAGAGGGGAGAGAGGAGGTGCTGGCTTGAGAAGGTCTGACCAGAGATGAGCTCTTCAATCTCTCATTCAGAGTTGATGCCAGGTAGAATTCCCCAGGCTTGAGTTGACCTTTGTGAAGTACAACCTATTTCATCCATCAGTCCTTTCTATAAGCCATGTAATTTCCAAGAAAATAATTATTCCTAGCAAGAGGAGAGAAGTATTTAGGACTTGAGCATCTGGCAAGGTCAGAGATACATGTTTCCTGGATTCCTGAGATTTTTGAGGATATGGAGGAGAATCTGTAGCTAGGCATTCAGTCATTGCTAGTTTCTGATTGTGTTATGAGTTGGAGGAGGGGTTTAAACAAAAGCCTGTATTTATTCTTGAAAGAAAAACAGGAGAAACAGTGAGGTTTGCAAGTTTCAACAGAGTGAAAGGTATTATGATTTGTGCCTAGATGTCCCTCCAAAGCCTCATGCAGTCATAGGGACAGGGTTTTTCAGAGGTAGCTGAATCTAGAATTTGTGAATGATTCAGTGCTGGGATCAAGGCTGGGTGACTGCTGGATCAGTCCACTGACAGAATTGGCAACCACCCTCATTCCAGCAGTCTGAATAAGATAAAAGGGGCACAAAGAGGTTTGTTTTGCTCCTTTTGCTCTTGCTGGTTTTGCTGTCTTCTGCTGGCTCAACTGGCAAGAACTGTTGCCCCTTTGCCATGCATCACCCTGCCTTGGTGGAGACAATTATGGACTAAACCTCTACAAACTGTGAACTAAATAAACCTCTCCCTTTTTAACTTTGGGTGTTGGGTATTTTGTCTGATCAATGAGAAAAAAGTAACTAAGATAAATGGTAATTTTCTCAAGGGGCAAACTCTCTCCCTAATCTCAGAGCCTTACTTTACAGAGGTGTCCTATGGCATATCTGTGACAGTCCAAGCTCCTGTGAGAAAAGCAAGTCACTCAAGAAAACCAGAGATATCCAGTGACATTCCTCGTGGTCCTGTTAAGAGTCATGATCTTTCACTAGACAATGGACTAACATCTAGGGTCATTACCGTCTCCAAGTTTCTGGGGTAGCTCTAGCTCTTTCTTTCATCTTTTCCTGCACCGAGCTGTCATGGTGGGCTTCTGGAGAGGACAAGGACTAATGGGGAATCTAGGTCTTCTGTGGCAAAGATGCTGCATGCATAGCTCTTATCCCTGCTCTTCTTACCTGCTAGTTGACTGGAAACCCCACCATTCACTAGCATCTTGTGACTCTGGTGGGCCACTCAATGTCTGTTCAGCCCCTTCAAGGTGAGAAGTAGATCAGGGCTGATTAGTGCCCTAAAGCTCCAAGGCTAAATAATCTGATAACTTGACACATTCATTTCCCAACAGACTCTGCAGATATCACAGCAAAATAAATAACCACAGTCAGGTTAACAAAGCCAGCAAAAATTACTCTTTAATAATGGACATATATTTTGAAAAACCTAATTATTTTTTATATCTTGGCTTTCTTTCCAATTTAGGTCTGGCAGATTAAACTGTGTACTTTTTTGTGAAGAGCTTCTGAGCTGTAATTTAATTCCAGATGTGATAATATATAATTGTTCATAATAATGCTAAATTGAAGTAATTTAGAAACAATACTGCTGATGGACAAAGCAATTAATTATGCAAATTTAACTTTTTATTCCAGTTTATATTGTAAGAGAAAGGACAAGCAGTTAAAACTGTGTGGGTTAATAAAAACTGTACTTTCAAGACTTTTGAGGATCTTGGCCCGTGCTTAGCACCTGCGATTATTCTTTTATTATTTTCTAAAAGAAAAGAGGCAGAAGGAAGGCGGCAAGATGAAGAAGAAGAGAAAGCACCTTCAGCAAGTGCCTGTGTAAGATTCCACCTTATAGATTACCTTGCTCCAGTTTCCCACTTTCCAGCCAGCACAGGGGCGGAGGTGGCATCTCTTAGCAGGGTCAGGCCTCTGGAAGGCCATGCAATCGGCATCCACCTGCGTGCTGCACTTCACACTTCTCCAGTAGGCGCCCAGCCCACACGTGGTGGAACACTGCAGGGAGGAGGAGAGAAGACAGAGGCTGGGTGCGGTTTCCATCACTGGGATCTGGAGGAAGGGGCTGTCGTGTTCCAGCTGCTAACCCAGCTCACAGTGTTCAAGTGATATTATTGCTGAGACCCATGCCTACACAAATCAGCCTGAGTCTCGGTGTGGGGCTCAGGGACCAATAGTATTAAAACATTTTTCTCCAGCCGTCTTTAGGAAGTGGTGGAGTTGAGAACCCCTGACTTGGTATGTAGGAAAAAAATCCAGTGCAGTAAGATGGGGTTTCTGCTTCCTCATCCTCTTATATATATGTTTCACTTGGTGCAAATTCTTGTATAATATATATATATATATTTATAGAATGATAATACAGCATTTTGGAGGCATCTTACTGAGTGGACAAGTCTCCTCTCTAAACTTTATTTTCTTTACCTACATACAGTGACACCAGTCTACATCACATAGGAAGGGATTAGTGAAATAATACCATTGCACTGTTAGCTGGACATGAGGAAAGAGGTAGATGATGGGGTCTCACACCCACTCTGGGCATCCCTGATATGAAACATGACAGTGTGCCTGCAGCCCCCTTGGCCTTCATGCCAGGACGATATTTCAAAGGCAAACATATTTCCATTTGCGCTGCATTCTTCTCCTAACATATACATATATGTATAACATAATTGAATCCTTAAATGCATAGAATGTGGAATCATAGGGAAAAGTAGAAATATCTTACATTATTTTCTTATCCAAAGGCTTATTTATATAGACGTGGTCTCATATCTTCCTCAAAATTCTTTAGAATTTGATTTGTGTCTTTCATAACCTCCCATCCTTCTACTTTGTACAGTATGTATCCACATAGCTGAGATGATAACAGCCAAAGTGCATTGACCACAGACTGTACCAGTGGTCCTGCTGTCCATGCTCCCTTTCATCTATTTCTTTGCAAAGGGACTTCTTAGCTTCTCTCATCAAGAAGTGAAGTCTGTTTTCTCAGCTCTTGAATTGAGGATGGCTTTTGTTTTAGTTGACAGGATGCAATGAATGATGTGCTAGTTGTGAAAAGGTCTTGCTTTCTATCCTAGCCCTTCAGTCCCTGCCTTAGCATAAGATTAAACCTGGACTACCTAATGCTGGAAGATGAAAGTTTATGTGAAACAAACCAGGTAGCCTATCTCAGGCCATTCCAGATTAGCCAGCCTTCTGCTGATCCCAAAGCAGGTGACTGACAAGCCAGGTTGAGATCAGAAATCTTTCATCTGAGGGTACATTTACAGTCCTGCAGTTTCTAACAGTGTGATACATTTTTTTGCTGTCTCCTAACTTTCCAAAAGCTGTAAAACTGATTGCAACACTAGGAGCTCCCTCCATCAGGGGCTTTTTGTAAGGACTTAGGGAGACTGTCCATTTTCACTGCAGCACACACAGTCAATGCTCTATTAAACACCACACACCCGTGAGCACAGGATCACAGGCCCCACCTTCCAGGTACTGGAGACAACAGTTTAGGAACCGTGGTGAAGGTCATATAGCCAGCATACTGTTAATTGCATATTGTGATATGGAAGGAAAACATGGCCAAATCCAGAAAAGTTGTCGAGGCAAATTTTCAGGCCAGCATTGGTCTCATTAAATCTCAAGTGATGGCTGTAGTTGTTGTATCACATTTATATTGCAAATAAATGCACACTGTCTCGGAGACTCTGAGTCTAGTCCTACTCATGAGTAGAAATCTGTTTAATTCTTTTGACAGCTTATTTGGGCAACAAACAGTCCAAATCAAAGCTGGGAGGGGGAAGCTCATGGACCATAGTAAAAGCAAAAGTGGGATTCTGTCAATGAGATTTTTATTTATTAAATTAGTTTTAAATTGGGAGCGGGAAGAGGGGTAAGAAAAGAGAGCACTGGAGAGGTAGGACAATGGCTTTATTTTGTTCTTCCTTGTCACAGTTAGTGACTTTACAGGAATGGATTGATCAGGTCAAGGAGCAGGTACTGGGGAGTCCCGAGGGGAACTGATGCTTAGAATCACATCAGCATCCTGTGATGACTGCTCTGAAAGGCTGTGGAAAATCATGCTGTCACTTTCATTCTACAGAACTGCACAGCGTATATCTGACTGATCCAAGGGATCTGACTGAATGACATAGCAATTCAGGGAGAGGTGAATTCCTGCCGAAATAAAAGCCCTACCCACGTACCCTGCAAGGCGCCTATGTTTTCTGTTTTGTAAATATAGATCAGAGCGAACACTTCTGGAGTACTTTCCATGCATCTGACAGTCTTCTAAGTGCCCTAAAAGCAGTTATTCCTTTTAGCTTATAATTTTATGAGTCAGGAATTATCATCACTCCCATTTTACAGATGAGGAAACTGAGAAAGAATACGAACATACAGTTAACAGTGAGTCAAGATTCAAATCTAGAAAGTTCAGTTTCAGGCTTTATGCCTCTTCATACTGTTAACTTAGTGTTACACCGATTTTTCATTTTTGAAACCCTATTTAGTAAAAGAAGTATGCTATTTAGAAGGGGAGCAGTGTTGCAATGCAGGACAGAAAGTTGGAGTGTGTCTTAGGAAGAGTCCAGCCAAAGCCTAATGAACTTTAGACATGCCTTCTTGGCTTAGAGATCAGAGAGATTTTTGGAAGAGGAGGCTCAAAACTTGATCCTGAAGAATAAGTAAGATTTGAAAGGGTAGAGAAGGGGAATCCCCCCCGCCCAGCAGAGGAAACAGCATGAATAACAGCACTGGGTGGGGAGAAGGGTCTCTCCAATCTCATTAAAAGTTCTAACATAGAACTCTATCTGATGACTATCATAGACTTTTGAAAGCTCCGAATTTTAACTACAATTTGTTATTTCCCTGGATCTCAGAGTTTAAATTGTTCTCAAAGTCACCTGGGACTTGCAGATTGTCAAATCCAGTAAGTCCACTGCTGTCCCTTTTCCTCCTAGACATTGCCAACATCAAATTTCTTTGTGTAAGTCTTAAAACATTAGATTATTCTTTACTACTTTTTCTCATGGGTTCTCTTTGCCAGTTAGCTCCTTAGTGTGGGTGTTTTCCAGAGTCCCACCCTTGGCCCTCTGCTCTCGGTAGCCTATAGCTTTGGTATTTGGTAACCTCACTAATCTCCCTTACTGCTCACATCTACCATATTTTATCTATGGTTCTTAACTCTCTCAAGAACTTTAGATTATATACACAGACATCTGCTAGCTATCATTTGGATATGCCAAAGACTATCAATGAAACCCAATCAATCTGCAAAAGCCATACACTATCTAAACTGCTTTGACTGCAGGAAGACAGAAAGCCTGTGTATATGCCCTTTAGGGTAACAGCATGTTTTCTAAGGAGAGATACATTTTTAGAGTGATATTTAAAAAGATATCATTCAAAAAAAACCTCCACAGATTAATGCTATTTCAAAATATCTAGCTCTGGACTGAAGCCACTGTGTTGATATCATACAGACCATTTGTCCCTGTGACCTCAAAAGTGATTGTGGGTGTCTTCAATTTATAAAATATGCTCTTGTGAATTATGTATGAGATTTTCTCATCTTTTAACCCAAGACGTCCACATAACTGGTATTGCTTTTATAGGTAATAGGTCCAAAGAAGAAACAAAGGCACAGAGAATGGTGGTGTTTCCTGGTTTTCAAAGCAAGTGATCCTGGGTTTTGATATCTGTCTATCTATCTGTCTGAGTTCAAATCCCTGCTCCATCACTCATAGTGTACATGATTCTGGCTACTTAACTTCTCTTATACTCACTTTATTTACCTTTAAACACAAGGAAAATATTACCAGTCTCCTATGATTGTGATTAGGTTTAAATAAGCAATGTCATGCTTGTGAGCATAAAATCATGCTTGTAAACCATGCTACCTGCTTTGCAAATGTTCAGTGTCAACATCTTCCTATTGCAGAGAGCCCTTTAGAATTGAATAGGAAAGAAATAAGACAAACATGTGTGGTCCATGAGATCTGTTTCTTTTCAGCAAATTAGATTGCTGTAGCATGAAAATCTCTTTTATCCCTGAAGCTGAATTCTTGTGAATAGAGATAATAAGATTGTTTACTCATTGATAGAAAATGTGATAATTTACTTTAGAAATAAATCATCGAGTTCCAGAACAATGGCACGGCCCAGGGAGACTTTAAGATCATCATTCCCAGTGGTTAAGTGGCTGCCCAGCTTGCAGCCACACTAAACTAAGCTCCAGAGGTTTTGAGGCCTGCCTAGACCATGCCCAAGGACCTTTGTTCAATCAGGGGAACTGAGGACACACGAGGTGAGTTCCAGCTCCTCAGCGCCAGCCTGGGGAAAGCTTTGAACCATCACCCACAGTGGTTGGGAGCCCACCAAGTTTCCTGGAACACTGGAGGTGGCATGGGACATTCAGCGGGCCTGACTGGACCACGCTCAGCAACCTCTATTCAATCACAGAAGCCAACAGCACAGGAGGCAATTTCCAACATGCCCAGGGGAAGCTTTGGAACATCACTTGAAACATGGAAATACAGGAAAATGACAAGACAAAAGACCAAAATGCAGTCTCAAACCTCCAGCCCATCCCAAGAAAGCCTAGGAGCCATGTACATAGAAGAAATATATGCCATACACCTGAAATACCTGAAATAATAGCAACTGAAATAAAGAAGCAACTCCAGGAAGCTATGAAGGAATTCAAATTAGAAAGAATATCCCAGGTAAAAGAAGAAATGATAAACATAATGAAAGAAATGCTGAACATATCTAAAGAAGACAGTTAAAAAGTTAGAGGAACAATGCAAAAAGATAGGAACCCTGAATGAACAATATAAAAAACAAATAGAATACATGAAGCAGATTCAAAGAGATATAAGGAAATCAAAAATTTCATTGAAAGTTGTCAAAACTGCCTCAACAAAAGTGAAGACAGAATTTCAGACCTCAAAGACAAGATTGCAGCTAGTGAACAGGAAAGGAAAGATCTTTTAAAATAAAACAAGGAATCAGGGAATAATAATTCAACAGCTGCAAGATGATACAAAGAAAAACAACATAGGATCGATAGGGATAAGTGAAAAAGAAAGGGATAACACATATGATATCAAGAGGCTATTTACAGATGTGATAGCTGAAAATTTCCCAAACATAAGAATGGAAATTGACATATGGATTAGTGAACCATATAGAACTCCAAATAGCTATAACCAAAATAAAATTATACCCAGACATATAATAATCACCATCCCAGAAATCCAACATAAGAATAGAATATTGAAAGCTGTTAGAAACAAAACATAGATCACCTATATATAGTCTTTACCCTTTATTATGTGTGCTGTTTTTCTTCCTTTCATTTGAGATGCTAGCATATACTTGATTGCTTCACTTTTTTTACACTATGCTACACTTCGATGAGCATTCACTTTAGAGTTTGTAAAAGGATACAACATTCCTAGAGTTTTTTAAGTAGAATTCAGCTGGGGTAGGAAATCAGTCCTCTTACCTCACTCCAGTTTCCAACGACCCAGTATGCAGGGCTGTGATCCTTAGCAAGCTGCTTGTAATTGGAGGCATTCAGTAAAAATCCTTCAGCAATCAGACTGGTTGCATCTTCCTCAGTCAGGACTGGTCCAGAACCTTGTGTTTGATTCATATTTGGAAGTTCTAGGTGGTTATGATTTGCTGGCTTTTCTGAGGTTGCTGGCTGGTGCTCTTCTTCCACATGGATTGAAGTGTTACCTGGCTCTTCAGTGACCATTTCCTCAGTTCTGGGTGTCCCATCTGTAAGGGTACTGGGCCTTTGAGTAGATAGTGATCCTTCCATCACTGTGCTGAAGTGATACCACAAAGACCCATCCCCATCATGAGGTGTTGGTGGAGGTCCAAGTGGAATTTCTGTACTTCTTTCCATTGGAGGATCATTTCCAGGTACTCTATTCTTGGTCCATATTACAGAGTTGCTTTCATCTTTGTTCTCAGACTGTTCACTGCCTTCCCCTGAGCCACTATGCATCTCCATTTCTGGATCTTTTGTCAATGTATTATAGTATGGAGTTATCTGCCAAGTAGCAGGATTGCTGGAAGATGACACATCAAGACCACTTCTTGTTGTAGCTACAATGTCTCTATCTGAGGTAGGAATAGTATCTGAATTAGCACCATTTTTGTCATTGGGCTGGATGCCCAAAGACCAGGAAGTGAGAAAGGGCTGAGAAGTGCTTCCAGTAGAAATGAGATCATCAGAGTCCAGTTCAGTTTGGCTTGAACTATTCTGCCACCATTCTCCATCCAAGTCTCCCTTTGTGGAGGCCGTGGTGAGACTGGGGCTGCTGGTGGCTGGAGTGCTTGTGTCCATAGTCTCAGGCACTGTGGGTGTGGCCAGCAGGGTGGGCTGGGATGAAGGTGAAGGGGTGGGGCTTAGAAGGTCTTGCCCGGATGTTGGTAGATTTTTCCCACTGGGAACTGTGGCTTTGTTGGGTCTCAGAACTCTCCGACTTGATGGGCATTGCTGAAGGCCACACAGAGCTCTGCTATTTGGTTTCTTTGTCTTATCACAAGGTTCACCATGGTTCTTGGTGCATGTGACACTGCGAATCCGCACTCCACCACCACAGGAAACAGAGCACTGGGAAAGAGAGACAGCTGTTAGTCTAGCAGGAAGTCTAGTTGCTTTTATTCTCGTGGACAGGCTTATAGCTGATTGGGACAGGCTCAGTGGCAGCTGGACATACAGGTAACATTGTCTTTTATCTCTATGTCTAATTTCAGCACTCTTAATTTTCCGTGAAAATTTATCTCTATACAGGACAACCCACTTACTCTTTACAAACTGAAAACATAAACCATGATGTAGTCAAACTTAAGTCTCTTTGCCTTTGAAGACTGAATAGTGGGATACAACAAGAGTGCAATGATTTAAATGAATCACCCAATTGTTTTAGCTATAGTGAATAATACTGTCTCTTTTCTAAGGTAGTGACATTATTACAATAATGTGAAATGTTTACATAGCCTCAGGAATCTATTAAGTTAGTTATATGGAATCTTTTTCATTCTACTTAGAAAATGTTATACTCCATGTAGTTTCTCTTGAGTATTATAATCACTTGTCTTTGGCAGGCAGAATGTGACTAAAAGTTAGACAATCACCACACTCATACATATTCATAGATGCAAGATCTTTTCTGAGGTGTTTATATGAATGGTTAATCAAGGGTGGGATATACACTTTCCCTTAGCATGGTGCTAATGTATACATCATATAAGTGGTTTGTCCCCCTCTCTTCCCTTCACATTCAGGGTACAGCCCAGCTCAGGCAACTAGACTGCTTTGGGGGAATTCTGATAGGAAAGTCCTTCCCCAGAATTCATGACAAAAAATGTTCATTGCATCTGTCCAGCAGCTGCAAGTCATATACAGTTGCCACATAGTTTAAATGTTTCAAATAATCCATGCTTTTATCACACTGGTATATTTTTAGTTTTCATTTTGAGTGACACTTTAAATCAATTATTAAACACCTGCCATTTAAACTTGGACCACTCAGTGACCAACATTGTCTGTTTTACATTTTTCTGTGTTGTATGTCTGACCTCAAGACAGGATTTTTAAGGATGTAACTGCATAACACTCAGTGGATTCCCGAGGGCTTCAAGTCTTTACTCTGTGTAATGATTGCATTAGCTCTGTGGGGTTTATGAGAAAGGACTTATTATTCCACTTTCTAAAGAGAGAAGCCCAAGGCTTACAGAGCTGGATGAAAGGCTGCAAGTCACTTTCAGAGTGAGAGTCAGATTTAGTCCACATAATAAATCTTCCCTGTTAGCACACAGTATAATAACAAGTAGCTATCCAAGGAATCTCCTTATTCACTTGTCCAAACATTTTATTTCTTTTCTTGTTTTTGTTCTGTGGTACTAGTATTGAATCCTCTTTGCACAGAGCTACACCCTCAGTCCTTTTACATTTTTTAAAAATTTGAGACAAGGTCTTGAGATGTCAGTAAGTTGCCCAGGCTAGGCTTGAACTTGCATTCCTCCTACTTAAGCAACTTACAGTGTTGGAATTAAAGGCACGCACCACCAAAACTAGATTTCTCAGGACAGTTCTTAAAGACACATATTTATAACATGTATAATAAGTGATCACTTTACTTGGAAACAATAAGGAATGAGAAAATTTTTACTCATGAACATAAATATTTTTTGGCTTAAATTCTTTGCCTCTCAAGACCTATTTTTAATTTCCTCTATATAAGAAAATAATATTCATGTAGAATGCTCCCTCCTTATTTTTTTCAATCAAGCGTAATCACTCACTGATGTATAATAACTGTGAAATCAGCTCCATTGAGAGGCGAAAAAAAATGCTGATGAGCACAGGGACAGGTACAGCCAAGAGAACAGCCAGCTGCAGACGGAACTCAACCTGCAAAGCTGTGACTAACACGTCAATAAAACACTTAAATGGCCTGTTCCAGGACCGGCCTTCCAAACTCAGTTTGAAATGATAAAAGTAATTGTTGGTGAGAAACACAGCTCATATACCAGGAAATGCACTTACTTGCTACCAAGTTGAAGCTACCAAGTAATGGTTTTGGAGCACATTCGTGAGGAAATAATGTTTCCCACACTTTCCACAACTCACCTGAAGCCTGGAAAGATATTTATTTTCCTGGTTTGTCACAAGATTTCTGCCCTTCTTGTGTATTAAGATACTTCCGGCTACATCCAGTTTAGTCATTCCAAGTCTCTCTCTGCTTGTTATGTTCTAACCTGAACCTCTCAGATTCTCAACTCTTCTCTTTGTAAAAATATGTCGGTACAACCACATGATCCTCCATGTATTTCTGAACACATGTCCATGTTGGTTGCTTCAGGTGGGCTCAGCTGAAAGTTGAATCATAGAGAGCCTCCAGATCACTCCACAGATTCGTAAGCACCAGGTGGCCTCGCTTGCAATTTTTATTTCTGAGAAGTATTAGAGTAAATGGTAACATAATAGGACTTCCTTCAATCTTTTTCTTTTAACTTCTCTCCATCTTTTCTCAGTTTATTTTGGCTTGAAGTATTTCTAATGCCCTTGGGGATATGACAATTCACAATACAACTTCAAGAAAAATTTTTAAAATGAATAAATTTATGAGTATGTGGCCTACACTACTATATTGAACGACAGTATATAAGCGAAGGGGTGAACTATAAAACCAGTGATAAATAGCTTTAATTCCTGAAACTGTCATTGTAATTACCTCTGTATGATTCAGCGATGAAGGATCAATTTCCTTGTTTAGAAAGTAAGAATAATTAGGATCTACCTTTCAAAGTTTCTATGAGGGCTATGGAAGACAATGGCCAAACACATACACACTAAATTCGAGACAGTCATTGGAAGCTATTATAATTGCTGTTATAATAATGACACTGATGATACTAATAGCAACCCTAACAGAAAGCTGACTTCTACTGTCCCTGAGAACCATCTCAACGGGAGCCTGGGGGATGAAGCAGGTAGAGGCAAGGTCTGGAAGACACTGTTGAAGTCCATGAACTCCTCTAGTTTATTGCTATATTTTTAAGATTCAGATTGTCTGTGGTTAATGGATGGATATGGGGCCTTTTAATATACAGAGTTTAAGAACTATGCAATAATACCTATGCAGTTGATTTTTTGGTTAAAATACATTAAATTTTGATACTTTAAAACAAAAGATTGTTCTTGAACAGGAATTCCAAAGTGTAGTGCAAGGAATATGTCTGGCTTATTAATATATACTCTTTGGCCTATTCAACCTTAAAACAATAAACAAACAAAAAGCAAACACTGAGTTACTGGCCAGAATTTTAAAATTTAGCAATTTTATATTAATAAAATTCCAGATTCATAGTGTCCGTTGAAAAAACAAACAATCTGCATCTATTGATCTTGTTCCCAAATGGCAACTCGAAACTTCATTAATGGAGATCTAGGGTCTGAGAGGAGTCTGTTTTCCAGCACCTTTCCTTCCATCCACCATTTTTTTCTCTTTCTTTCTTTCTTTCTTTCTTTCTTTCTTTCTTTCTTTCTTTCTTTCTTTCTTTCTTTCTCTTTCTTTTTCTTTCTTTCTTTCTCTTTCTTTATCTCTCTCTCTCTCTCTCTCTCTCTCTCTTCTCTCTTTTTCTTTCTTCTCTTAAAAAGTAGACACTGCATCTCCTAAACAGCCTGGGGATGCCATGTCTTGGCACTTGGAACATATGTCTACCAGCCTGGTGCTATGTACCAAGGAAATTGCACCTAACTGTGCAAGTTGCCTTTTCTCAGAAGTCAGAACAAGCAGACCTGCTTTGTATTCAGCTTTGTGCTTCTTTCAGTACATCTTCCCTGTATTTATCACCTTCGGAGCTGTCAGGCCCTTCAGATGAAATAAATGCAGTACACAGCACCACACTTGGAACTCATCTCAATTGGTAGTTTGAGAATTCTTGAAAACAATTTCAGCTATGATTATCATATACCCTTTGTAATTTTGAATCCCGTATAGGGCAAGCAGCTTGTCAATCTGTTCTTTCTGGACATTATCTTCCCCTTGCTGGCTATCACTCCTAGATGAGAACCTCTGGGATAGCCCACTGGAAAAGAGGTCAGCTGCTAAACTGATCAACTCCACTTACCACAGGAGCATTGTGGAGAGGGTGGGACTCATAACTGGTCCAAAGTTACGGGGATAAGAGAGTCTATTCAAGGGCTGAGTACAGAATTTAATATATAGTCTTTGGAATTTATAACTAAAAGATTGGATATCCACTAAACTCTGTTTGAAAGTAAGTTAAACACTTAGATACCTAATGGAGATTGAATTGCCCCTCTTCCTACATTCTATGTATCAAAGTTGTATCAAAGGCTCAATACCTGTTATCTCAGAATGTGAACCTATTCAGACACAGGCTCTTTACAGAAGGAATCAAGTTAAAATTTCAGCACTAGCATAGGCCCTGACACAATCTGACTGCTGTTCCTATAAAAAAGTGAAATTTGTACTCACAGAAAACATCATGCCCAGATGAAGACAGGGCTTATGGTGATGCTTTCACAAACCAAGGAAAATCAAAGATTACCTGAAAACCACCAGCTCTAAAATGATTATCCCCTCTCTGCTGACACCTTGATTTTGGATTTCTAGCTTCTGAAAATGTGACACAAGAAATTTCTATTTAAGTCACCTAGTTTGTAGTACGTTTTTAGGATAGCCCTAGAAAACTAATTCAGTATCCTCAACAACTAAAAAAAAAAAATCGTATATGATAAAGAGAAACAACATGGCACCCAACTGAGTAGCTGTTTCAAACATGAGTACGCATGTCTGTTCACAGGAAGCTGGGCAGAGCACAGGCTACAGAGAGCTGGAAAGAACTGAGAAGCTGGTGCTTCCAAGTGAGCGTGCCAACAGCAGAGGTGATCACGGTCAGATCATCAGGGGCCAGCTGCCCTGGAGTTCCTAGATCTTAAGTAAATGGGGATTCCAGGGGTGAGTAGCTTAGAAATATCTCCTATCCTTGCTTGCCCTGTCTGCTTTCATTTTTCAGAATTTCCTGAGATTTCACACGTGTCTGTTTTTGCTTCTCAGCAACAGCCATAGCTTTGGAGTTTGTCGTACCACCTTCTGTCAAAAGAATCAAGAAGAGCTCATTTCTGAGAAGTGGCATTAGTCTGTTGAGTCACTCTGTACTTCAACACCCCCACAAACAATTTTTACTTAGATTCTTTCAATTAGTCAGATTCTTAGCAACCTAATTGTTTGGTTCCTTTGAGTTAGTTGTAGAAAAGGCAGATGGAAGATCTTTCTAGACTCAGTAGCTCTGCTTTTGGAGGGCCCACCTCATATCGCAGCAGGTAAGTTCAAACATATCCACTAGTGGCAAATGTATTTCTTTTGTGTTTTTAAACACTTAAGAGCCTTTTTCTCTTTTTCTTTTGAAATTATTTTGTGAGGGTAATTCACTTGGTTTTCGAGTCTCTGAAACCTCAACAGTCAATATGCATAGTCTGGAATTCCCACAAAGTAAGAAAGATGATATATAAATTATTTCCAAATATATTACATTTTTAGTGAATACTAACAGCTGTCAGTTTTCAGATGTTTGAGACACAGTACAGTATATAGTATAGTGCTCAGAGTAGCAGCTCTGCTGGTCTCATTCAAATCCTGGTTCCATTATTGATGGTTTTATGATTTTGGACAAATTTCTAAGCATCTATATGCTTCAGTTTCTTTATCTGTTAAATGGGGCTAAAACTGGTAGCCCAGTTTTATTTTGAGTTTTATTAAAACTCAAAAAGGTATTAAAAACACATACATATCCAATAAATTGGATATTAATATAGTTAAATATTTATTATTATTTTGCTGCATCCTAGACACTTTGTTTTCATGGAAGCAATAGATTAGTTTTTTTCTTTTAAGTCTCAGACATTTTTGTAGGTCTTTAAAAAACTGACAAGCCCTAAGCAATTACATGAAATTGCCATGTGTAAAGAGAGGGATAGATGAACATGCAAGAAGCCACAGAGCAATTATTTTGGGAGCTTTGAGTACCGCTGATAGAGTGGGCCTTTGTCTTGACTGACAATAAGGTCGCTGATTAGTGAACACTAACTATTTGCCAGACAGTATGCTAAGTGATTATATGGATTATTTTATTAATCCTTATAATAACCCAGTCTTTACAGACGAGGAAAGGCTGAGAGTTAACACTAAGGTAAGAGCACACAGAGATTTCCAGAGGTACAAAGCCTATGAAAGTTGCTATCTTTTTAGATCTACTAGTCTATTTGACAAGGTTTACAATTTAGGAAACTGAGACCATGAAAGATAAATTCATTTTCCTAAGACTGTGTGAGTATATGAAGTGCAGATTAGAATATGGGTCATTCTCTGGGCCTTTTTTCCACTTCTATTCCTATCCAGGATATATAAACACCCAGACACATTTATTAGCTACCTGATGCTTTCAGTGGTCATTCATATGTCCATCCATCTATCCATCCATCCATTCATGGCAAAAGATAAGACAGCTTTCTAGAAAACAGGTGGCTAAACCATTTTCTAATTATACTTTTGGAATCATTATTAAAATTTTCACATAACTTTGGCAATTTATTATAATAAGGATGTTTCTTGAAGTACTTTCCCATGTATCAAGTGGAAAGAATTATGGAGCTCACTGTGATTCCCTTAATGCAATGGTTACCTAGATGAACGGGCTTAAATTGCAAGCTTAATCACAGTAACTCTATTATCATGTTTAGATCTCAATCTCTGCTCCCAGACCTGCCCTGACTTCTACTTTACTACTACAGCACTTTGAATACAAACAAACACACACAGCCTGGCTTCTGGAAGTCTCATTTGCCATATGCATATGCAAATCAAATGAAGCCAAATAGCACCTCTGATTACTGGCAGTCAGTGGGGGAGAATGCCAAATAAATATGTGAGAATGTGGGGTAAAACAACCAGGAGAAAACTAATGGTAACCACAGAGAGGTGAAACATTCTCATCTACAAGTGGCTGAAGATTTGACCCCAGGGAGCCATGTTCTAGGGGGCATGCCCTTCACTACTGGGTTGGTTACCTGACTCTGAAGTGGTATACTTAGATTAAAAACAGAGCTCCACCCTGGTACCGATAAAAACAAAAAAACAAAAAACAAAAAACAAACAAACAAAAAAAAAACAGAGCTCCAGAAACTTTGACACTTTGCTTTTGTTTACAACAAATAGAGTCCCTCTTTCTTAGCCTCCAAGCCACCAAAACCAGGATAAGATTCTTAGTGAATCTTGAGATTACAGGTAAAATGTCTAGAGTAGGAGTGTAGGCTTGGTGGTGGGATCAGTGGTGGATAGTCTCAGGGGGCAGGCATGCCTTTCTTGGGAAGAGAATTTCCTCTTCTGATCCCTGTTGGTCAAGATTGCTTGTCACCCTGGAATACCTAAACACACCTTTCCTCATTTCCTGGGTGGTAGAGAAGCCTTCATAGAGGACAGCTCAGGAATTTGCCTCTCCTTCTTCCCATCTTGGTGGCAAGGGGAGGTCATTTTGTAGAAATCTAGGAGGTTCTCAGTACTTAGATGTTTTGGCCCAGTTACCTTGCAGTTTCAGGCTCATCCAGGGTGACCCAAATGACTCAGCAAAGAACACAAGATTAGGTATAACCAAAGCTTTATCCTGCTTCAAATAATATTGGTACCAAGGCAAAATTCAGACAACAAATCCTTTGCACTAAGAATGACCACATCATCTATTTTAAAAGCAGCAGCTAGGCATGGTTGGATTGCCAAGTACATTTCACCATATTCTAGTAAAGCTTATTAAAGGGTTATCAACATGATAACCAAGAGAGAACCATTTAGTAAATCTCTTGATGCTGATTTAACTAAAAGCACTTCTCCCAGTAGCATCTCCTGAATGAAGACACTGGCTCAGCCTTTCTGCTCATTTTTGTCAAGTGAAAGCCAGAAACTAGAAATTACATATATGCTGTCAGTTGATTACAGCTGTGATTTGGAACCACAGACACAAGTACTTGTCACATTATGCCAACTTTTGGTCCCTTGTTCTCCAGTCAAGGCTGGTTATTATGCTCCACATATATAGGGACATAATAAGAAGAGCTCCTCAGTCAAATCTGTAATTGCAGTCCTTTGAGAAATCAATAAGCCTCTGGCAATTAGTAAATTCTACATAAAAAGAGTTATTAACTACTTTGGATGAAGTCAACATATTTTTGGTAAACAGATTTAATGAATCAGTCACAGTACCCCCATTCAGCCTTATTTTGACAACACTATAATTTACAGCAGTGTAGATTGGCGGTGGACTAATAGGCCAGGCCACCAGTATGTTATTATTATTCCTTCTAATGAAGAGCAGGGGGACATATTCTGGTTTACTGCTGATATGACACATGCAACAGTGCATATATCCATCATGTACCTATATTAGTTGGTAATAATATTTTCTTTATGTGCATACCTCTTTGTCTTTTCCTTTTTTTAATTTAATTTCTCTCATTTTATGGAATGATTTTACAAGACAGACATCACATTTTCTTTTCCTTACTTTCACCAGATGCCCAAGAGAGCATCCAGTGCAGAATTAAAAGCCAATTAGCTAACTAACTTGTGATTCTGAGCTAATGAAACAGTCTTTAGAAATAAGGTTATCGAGCTATTATTTTTCAAATGAGTACACTGACTTCATATTGGTATCTTCAGGTAGGATAGCTTTGCTTATACAAATTTTACAATTCTTTAAGAAATACTTCTAGAAAACCTTCATAAGCAATACATACAAAGCAATCTCCTTTATTTATATTCAAATAGCACTTTTAAATACAAAGGTTTTATCCCAATATACTATCACATTGTTCATGTATTCATTGGTTAGTTAATTGTCTTTTTTTGTGTCAATCAAACATCTTTCCTTTTCCCTGAATGTAAGTCTCAGATGGGTTTCTGCAATTTGCTCATCAACAGCAGTGTGATTGTGGAGGAAATGTGGCTTCTCAAGGAAACCCAAAAGATGGAAGGAGGATTTGTCTCAAAATTCTGGCCTGTTGATATTTAAAGATCATTTAATTTCTAGTCATTCCTGTATTATTGACCGAAATGCACACAAGGAAGCTGAGATAAGCTCACTGGAGACTTGAGGCATTTTGGTGAAAGAAAAGCTTTACTTCTAATCACTCTGGGAACACAAAAAACCTGATAAAATCAGGTTCAATAGTGACCCATTGAAAATTAAAGCCAACCAGCTTCTCAGAATCTTCTAGCCTTCTCACTTCTAACTATACTCAGAGAATTGGATCAAATTAATTTTGGGAAAACTCAATGCTTATTTGAATTTACACAGTTAATAATTATATTCCCTAAATATATGCTAAACAAATGAGCTTTTCTGTGTGTTAAGCATATTCTTCATTATTCCACCAGTAAAGCAACATTTCTTTGATTTTAGTTAACAACAATGATATAACTATAATGATGGTAAATGTTTAACAAACTGGTTTTGGAGGTGGAAGGAGGGTTCTTGGTTGTGTTACCAATGGCTTAACAATGGGCCAGCAAAAATCCTGACAGTTTAGCAATTGGCTGCCCCGACTCTGTAGCAGTGGAAATCTACTTTATCTGTGGATAAGTGACTACTGGACAGGTACAACAAAGATACTATAAGAACAGAAGAGAAGATTCTGAGCAGTGAGAAATGCAGGAAATAGGCCTGAGGTGTTATCTGTTACCTCTTATGCAACTTTCCCTTAGTCACTTTGAATTAGAGGACTTGGTAAAGGGCTGATGAAATACGAATAATGCCAGTTCTCCTTGTAAGTCTTGGGCTCACCTCACTCCAGTTGCCCACTGTCCAGTCTGATGGGCACAGGATATCTCTGTTACAGGAACTGAGGGCCTTGGGCTTCAGCAGGTGCTGACAGTCTGTAGCCGGAAGAGCTTGCTCATCAGAGGCCATGGTCTGGATGCACAGCACGGTTCGCCTCTTCTCTCCGTAGGGCCCACATGTTTTTGAACATGCTTCCCACTCTCCTGCCCACCACCTGCAGGCAGACATAGACATGGGAAAAGATTACCAAAAGTATACATGCATTCATTTAACTAGTGGAGAGAGAAAGTAGGTGAGAGCCACAGATTGCAGAGCTGGGAGGTTCTTGCAAGCACTCTACTTTCCAGGGCCTGTTTTACTGTCAGGGTCACCCTACCTTGTTCAGTCAAAGCCCCAAGCTTCAGCAGAACACATGGCTTACGTAGCTGTTAAACAGACATGGTTTTGAGTGAAAAACAATATATATGTCCTTTTTTTCTGTCAAGAAAACTGAACTCCAGGTACCTGGCATACAACTTTAAGCAGATGGAAGTTTCATTTCTTCAGTTGTTAAATGAGTGTAACAATATCTACTTTGTATGACTACTATGGAATTAATAAAATGTCAATTTATGTAGAGTGAATACTACAGAGCGTGATACATTATAGAACTCAATCATTTATTACGATATATTGTTATTTTGACTGTTGGTATTAAAAGAATACAGTTAATCTCTAGGTTTCCTGGCTTTAAATAAAATATTTTTCAATTTCAATGTTAATCAGGTACCAACACACTGTACCTAGTTTTATTACAAAATGTAACTACTAAGACATAGTGTCATTAATCCTCCTCAAAGCATTCCTTATCACTTCAAACACACTTATTCCATTGTTCTTGTCACTTTCTAGCACAGTTCTGAAAGTTCTCTTTCATTAGTATCTTTCTGAGTATGCTGAAAAGTACCTTGGTACCTGGGGTTTAATTTATTCCACATTCTGGAAAAGGTGGCCACATTTTAGTTCATGCAGGAAAGATGGCTGCAGTTGTGTGGGTCAACCAATGCAGAGTTCACAAATGAAAACAAAATTTTGCCAAGTGTCAAAATTTTGATTGTTTTCAAATCAAATTGTTCACAAACAAAAATATTCGTAAACTGAAGTGTCACTGTACAATGAATGCCATTTAACAGAAATTTATGACAATTATATACTGTGTCTTCATCCATCTTATTTACTACATCTGGCACTATGTAACTTTTGGGTCTTACCCAAAGTCAATATGACCAGGACAGACAAGTGTTTCGGGTTAATTAAAGACTTGGAGGCAGCCATGACAGTGCAATTAAAGACACTCATGGAAAAGACAAGTACTGCTTCAGAAAGGGGCCAGAATAATGGCGCAAATATAGTTGAAGAGAGGAGGAATTATTCATGGGGTGGTAAATGGCAATGTATCTTTTATTGTAAAATATTTTAAAAATGTAAACATTCACCATATATTTCAGTTATACCTTTCATTTAAAAAATGATCAGTCAGGGATACAGTGCTCATTTTTGGTTTCCTATCTCCTGCCATCTAATAGTTAATAATTTCATGTTCTGTTTAATAAGCAAAGAGTAGAAAAAGAAGAAACATAAATAGGACAGTTTCTTGTTACTTGTTCTTAACAAGTTAAACAGTAGAAACTGTTGTTTAAATCAATATTCTTGATTAAATTGTTCTTAAATTAAATTGCTGGCTAAATTAATATTCTCTGAGGACAAACAAATATAAGCCAATTATCTGTGAGTGACTGACTCAGGGTGCCAGGATGTGGCCCACTGGTAAGATGAACTGCTTTTGAAAATGGCAGAGTCTGTTCTTTTCTTTCTTTGCTATCATTGTGCAAACTTTCCCAACACAGAAGACAAATAAATAAATACCTAAATAAAAGGCGTAGGTTGAATTCGCCTTTGTGTCGATGGACAGCATCCCTCTAAATCATAATGAAGTGGAGTCCTTCTCATTTCACGGGGAAAACAGTGTACTGTGGGGAGCCCTTCATTTCTGACTTTAACAAAGCCTCCTGATTTAAGATAGCACTGACTTTTGGTAATCCTGAAGACGATATAACGTTGTACTATTTTTGTTTATTAAATATCAGGTTTACTTGAGTAGAACTTATTTTGATTATCATATTTCTAATTTCAAGTTAAAATACTGGAAGAGAGCACTTCCTGAATCCTATTGTACTGTTCAGTTTATAAGTAAGATTATGTATTTCCTCTTAGTCTTTTAATATCTGGCTGTAATTGTAGGAACAAAAGCTAGTACTTGGACCGTATGATGTGAAAGCAAATGAATGCCCACTGTATTAATCTAACTACTTTGTTTTGCCTGACTTTTCCAGTGGAGGCCAGGCACACTACTGATTATATAAATGTCATTCTGGAAAAGCCTTCATCTGAGCTGACTGAAAGCCTAATTTATCTAATTACTTGCTACAGAGTTTTCAGCTATGTCATCACAAAGTGATAATGGCCTTCTTGTTTTCTCTTTTTGAAGTTTTCTCCAGTCTCCTGGAGGATCTTTTACATGCGCTTGTGCTGTGGGCTCACCAAGTGTCCAAAACTCACTGTGGAAAACTTAACCTGCAGTGCAGCAGTGTTGGGAGATGGGGTCTAATGGGAATGTTTAAGGGCTGCTTTAATGCTACTGTAAACAGTGTTGTTGGAGTAGGTTTGCTACTTTACCCCTTTCTGCTATGTGGGGACATATTTGTCCTCTTATTTTTCTGCATTCTGCCATGTGAAGACACAGCAAGAAAGTCTTCCCCAGATGAAGTGATGATGTTTTGATCTCAGACTTCCAGACTGTGTGGTATTAACTGTGGTATCAACCTGAATAAGATACTCTGGATTAGTTTACACAGTTCTGTGTGCGTCTACATGACTGACTTACTGAAGAGGGAAGACTCACTGGGGATGTCAGTGGCACCAATCAGTATGCTTGTAGTCTAGATGAAATAAAAAGGGAAAGAAGAACAAATTCTTGCTTTTGTTTCTTTGAAGTAGCTCCAGTCTATTATCCCCTTCGGGCGTCTGCCTCCAGGTTTCCAGTGCACTCTTTAGCTTTCTATTAAGGACTCACACAAGACTCTACAGTGAGCTCCAGGTCCTTTGGGTAGATCCTCTTACTCTCTAACACACAGCTGGTCATTTTGTTTCTTTTACTCTCCACTCCACAGATGGCCATTGTGAGCCTACCTTATAAATTCTTTATATATCTTATACATGCTTTCTATGAAATCTGTTCACTAGTGAAGCCTAACTTATACATTCTAGAACTATAGAATTACATTTCTGTTCTTTATAAATTTTCCACTAGTTTGTTACAGTAGCATAAACAAAATTAAGACAGTTTGTCACTAATTTGCAGAGAAAACCATCTCCTCTGTTTTCCTGCCAAGATTTTTCGGGCATGGGTTTCAGGAGCCAGTAAACATGTTGTATTGTTGTCTAACTCATTCTTTTTGGTGTTTGCCAAAATTCCACCTTTTCTAAGTGATTAATGACAATATTATTTTATATTTATGGGAGATTTTATATTTATAGACAATTTGTAGCAAAACACTATCAATGTGCTATGAATGTTTGGTGAAAAGAGAAATACAATATTCAAAGAATTCAGGGAGACTAAACACCCAATCCAGACATTTATTGTTCCCCAATAACACAAGCTTTTTGGTTTAATCAAAACAGGATTGACAGTAACCTAACCTGACTTTTTTTGTGGCACTAGTCTGTCTCTTACCAGAATGTTAATGATAGTAACTAAGATTTTCTGCCTGATTAAACTTCAGTCAGGTCCTGAATCTTCTCCTAGGCCCATCTATGTGTTTCCTTGTAAAGTCTAGTTTAGCAGCGATCAGCTAAATCAGTTTGACAAGAACTTTTAACCCTTGAGAACTTTTTGGCACCTTTCCTGGGTGATGTCTCATCACTCTGGCTTGTCAACACTTTATTTGACACCTTTCCTGGGTGATGTCTCATCACTCTGGCTTGTCAACACCTCATTTGACACCTTTCCTGGGTGATGTCTCATCACTCTGGCTTGTCTTCAGCAGGAATTCTGTTAGATCAAGTTAACCCAAATTCTTCCTTTCCCCATCTTTCTATTAGCAATTTCCTATCTGCTGACCCAAACCTGTTCTCAGGTACAAATTCTCTCCTGTTCATACTGTACTTGGAGTTGTAACTAGTTTCTTTCCCACTACAGAATAGTACTGTAATACTCTTTATACCTGTCATGGTAGTCTTGAATTAAGTTTATATTAGTATTAAAAAAGCATCATTAAATAATATTTTCTTATAATAACCTAACACACAACTGGACAATTGATCATGCATTGTCTGTATTGTCTGTTAATCACTAAACATGAGTCCATCTCTTTTCAGTTATGTAGAAGTCCTGAGGACTGGGGCTACATGATTGATTCTCATTGTATCAGTATTTGAAGAGCTTTAAAAAGTTATCAGTGTCCAGGCCTGACTGAAGACATAGAATGTCTTGTGGGTAAAAAAAATACATCAGTGGTTTTTGAGAGCTCCTAATTACTTTCATTTGGTGCCAGGGTTTTAAAGAACTGTACTAGTGTCCTTGGTAGCAACTAAATTTACTGTTTTGAAATTTCTCTGAACTGTTCAGTTTGAGTTTTACATAATACATATCGATATATTTATATCTGTATTATATATATATATATATATATATAGAGAGAGAGAGAGAGAGAGAGAGTGTGTGTGTGTGTGTGTGTGTGTGTGTGTGTGTATCAGTGTTTGAGAACCTTGTTGAAGAGTTTGTAGTAGTTGTACCTGAGTAGTTGTACAAAATATATTATGGTAACAGTATGGTTTTATCTCACACTGAGATAAAGTAGGAGAGGTGTGAACATCTGACTCTTTTCTGTACTTGTACCTGATCCTTTTATGGCACTGTTTGCCTCAGCAGCTTTGACTATCAATGAAGTAGGTCACTTTATTTTCCCTATGCTCATTACTCAGATAAATTATAAGTTCATATCTGAATCTGTCAAGATCTTTCTCATTATAATAATTTCCATTAAAAATCAACTTTCATAATTATCTTCCTTTATACAAATCTTTCCTTAAAACCATTGTAATACAAGATAATTCAATTGACAAATTTATATTCTACATTGTTTAATAATCATCATTGCAATGTAAAAAAGC